CCAGTCGGTACTGCTCCTGGCCAGAGCTCCGGGCCCATGATTCACTGAGAAACATGGTCGTAGCCGGGGCAGGCTGACAACGATGGAGACTGGAAGTGAGATTTCCACATCAGTGATGGGAGGTCGAGCAGAAGCATCAAACCTTCTCCACAGTCTCTTTGGAGGGTGGGAGGAAGACATGATAACACCTCTCACTGCTTCTAAGATCAAATATTGGACTCGCAGGGTCGACTTTGCGGAGATTCCAGCTTCAGCTTCTCCTACATGCTCTCCCTCGACGTTTCTTGCCGGCAGGTTTGTCCTGAAGCAGCTGCTCACGCATTCGCGCATTTAGCTCATCTCTCTCCTCAGCTCGCTCAGCCACCAGTGCATCAAGGGCCATGGCTTTAGGGTGTGACGGAATTGGATCCCCCAAACTTCCCCCAAATTGCACACACACGCACGCACATACACAAAAACCCTTAGAGCCTCAGAGGGGTTGTGCCTCCGTAGTGTCACTTCAAGATCATTGATTCCCCCCAAAAATGACTTGCCAGAGCATCAGGCCCAAAATGTGTGTCAACACCTCTCGTTGAAAATCATTGCGCTTGAAAAGAGATGTCAAAATCCAAGCAATTAGAATGGGGGCCCCCTGCGCCAAGTCTCAGCTTGCTTGTCGTTGTTGTTGTTCACTGCTCGGCGAGCAATGGCTTCAAGCCTGAGTCTAATTTGGTGAAGGCAACTGGCTTCTGACTCATGTAGCCGCAATCCCGCCCTAATCCTGCCCGCACATTCAGACTGTATGGGGTTGCAAAGAGCCAAGGCACATTTCGTTCCCATGCTTCTTGAGCACCTACCCACAGCGTAGCAGGCTGCTCTTCTGCTGCATGCCGCATGCGAAGTGCTAGGAAGGCAGGTGAGGCAAGTTTGCCTCTCTTCTCTTCTTCTGGGAGTCGAGGTCTTCGCACAGGAGCTGGATGCTCCGTGCCTCTACAAGGCTCGTGCCACAAGGCGTCACCGGAGAAAGCCTTCTTTAGAAAGTGCCATATGTGCCATAATGCTTATATGTTAGCGGACTTTGGTGCCTTGATCTCGGCTCCATCCATGAGGTCCTGGAGCCGAGCTTCCTTGGCCCGCTCCTCAATCAGGGCCATCTGCTCGTCCAGGCCCTTGCGCATGGCCAGGCACTTCTCCTGCTCGTTGTCCTCACTTCACAGGCTTGTTTAAGGCTGTTGGGAACACTTGTGGGCAAGTGAGAGACTTCGACTCATGGTCTTGCATTCGAAGGGTTGTGCACGGCTCTCCTTCTCCATTTGGGTCCGTCTCAGCTTGTTGAACGAATCTGCGGTGACGGTCTTTACCATCTCCTCAAACTCGTTGCTCTGAGCTTGCCTGCTTGCGGGCGGCCGGTTGCAAGAGCTTTATCGTTTCCGGCGTGAGGGGCCTTAGTGCTTTTAGCGGGGTTGACGTACATCAACCACACACACTGGGCATCACGGGCATCACGGGCATCATGGGCATCCCCTGGCCATCCCTCCAGTTCGTCGCGGCTGGCCACTCGTGAGGCCGTCTGATGGCGCCCTAGAGCCGCAGAGTCGCAAAGCAGTTGCTGGTATTTCTTGACACGACCCTGCCATATACCGGGTCTGTGCAACAGCTGAAAACTGTCACGACGTAGCAGTTTGGGCCACCAGTCAGTCAGGTGAGCAAACTGAGCACACTTTGAGACGGAAATGTCTGCTCCTCGGCTATAATTATTTGGCAATCAACAACAGGAGATTGGCCTGTAGGCTTTGTTCTCTTCCAGCTGCTTGTCCAGCCTGTGCTTGGCAGAAATTTGCAATCAACCTTGCCTGCGCCACGAGGAAGAAAAGCCATGGGGGCTGATGGCTGGCAAGGCGCTCGCGACGATAGTATTCTTTCATGGCCCACTTGTGCTGCTCTCTTCTCTTCTCCTTGGGGCCACGAGGGCATTCTGACATCAAGTCATTTCTAAATTACTTCTCGTATCCCTTTTTGCTACTGGGCTCACTCCCTAAACCCTAAACCCTAAACCCTAAACCCTAAACCCTAAACCCTAAACCCTAAACCCTAAACCCTCTTTATTGACCAACGCTTCGACTTCCAAGGTGCTCCCCGCAATATCTTGCCAGGGCGCTTCTTCTACAAAGGCCTTCGCATCCCACTTGTTGCCGGCCTTCAGATTGGTCCATACGAAACACTCGAGTTTGTCCATGAAACTTGGGTGTTTCTAAAGGGTTTGGGATTTTTTGTTGCCACCCGCCGAGCTGACACTCAGGCCCATTGCAGGGACTCATGCGAAAATGGCTGGGATTTAAGGGTTTAGGCTTATCAAAGTTTGAGGTTTAGGGGTTAAGGTTCAGGTTTGCTTTTGCCACCCTCTATGACGCACTGCAGGAACTACACTCGTCACTCAAAGTCTCATCGCAGCACGACCTAGCTTTGCCATACCAACTTCAGAAGGGGCGTCACTTTGTAAGAAACGGCCTAACCCATAGCTAAATGAAAGCTCTCTCACACCTCTCCAACATTGAGTTCACTCTCCTTTTTTGCAAGTACAAACTACCAAGATCAGGTATTACGTTACACTCTAGAACTTATAGGATTGTAGGGCCTAGGGCTTCGGCTTAGGGTGGCTATGATGCAAGCAGGTGCATTTCAAGCACTCTGCCCCTGGTGCTGAGAGCATGCCCACCTTGCCTGCTTCAGTGGGTTGTCAGAGGTGTCCGTCCACATAGCTCGTGGGACGTACACGTCATCTGACTCGCTGGGGCGGTGGCCTGACATGCTTTATCCACCCATTGTCCGCCCTGCTGCCAAGACAAAGCTTGAACAGAAACCCTGCGCACGGAGAGCTCCCGCCTAATACCATGCCGAAGTCATTCTCTCCTCGATTTCGTAGTGTTTTCCGAAGGGAGGCCTTTGGCAAACACGCCGCACGCACCCACCGCTTCTGTCGCGCCCTATGCCAGCAGCTAGAAGCAGCCAAAACGCAAGCATGCGCCTAAATTGCCCTAGCGGAAGACACGGATGCACTCAGCTGCCGAGGTGCGCTCATCGTTCCCTCCAGCTGCGGGGCGCTGGAGGATTTCATGGGTGTTCGCGCTGCACTGCGCGACCCCTGCCCAACGTCCAAGGGGCAACAGGAACCCTACTCACTGATGCGACATCCTCCTGTCATGGGAGCTCGTAAACAAATCGATTTTCCTCTGCTATCGAGAAGGTGAACTAGGCTAAGGTGTCCACGAAATAACTCGTGGCCCCAACCAGGAAGGAAAACTATGAAAGCACGGCACGTCTGCTGGCACGCTTCGAAGCTGTGCCCCGAAGATGGCGGCAGCCCCTTCTGCTTGCGATGGGGTGCCAGTCGCCCATATGTTGGCGGGCAGAACTCACGCGAAACAGAAGCCACAAGCAGCATGCGGTGACCACATCACCTAGCTTGATGGTGGGGCTGTTGCCTACCAAGCCTAACCGTAGGCATGGCCGCTTGCGGGAGCACTCTTCTCCAGCACTGGTTAGCAGCTGGATGAGTGGCTAGGCAATTGGAGTAACTCTTGACACTTTGCACTTCCTTTCCTATGGCATGGTTTCTGCTTTATGTGCTCATGTTGCTCAGGTTGGCAGGGCTTGAAAGAAGATCAATGAGGAAGATGCAAAGCGAGCACCAAACGATAAGCATTTCTACCGCTGCTTGTTATTTGCAGCGCTGCTTCCTTTACAGCACCACATTGGGTACTCAGAAGATGTAGAAGCAGCCAAGACGGGCACTCCAAAGTAAGCCTCGGAGTACAAGCTCGGATGTGCCCACGAGCTTTCGTGGACCTGCTTCACGACCTTTTAAAGTTTAAGTACATTCGCAGTCTCCCCCTTTCCGCTCCGCTCCTGAGGAGCGGTGCCAATGTAGGCTGCCACACCAGCGGATCCAAAACTCGCGAGAAAACTCTCAACCAGCCGGCGCATTCTGCGATGCTACCAGTATTCACTAGTATTCATTAGTATTCATTAGTATTCATTAGTATTCATTAGTATTCATTAGTATTCATTAGTATTCAGAAGGTCCAAGACGTCTTTTGTCTCTTCACATTTAGATTCCGATGGTGCTTGTTGGGGGTTCCCTGCAGAGACTCAGACTCAAGCCCGAAACATGCTCATAATGCTCATATTCAGGGAGATCGCGGGGTGACGGGCACGCCTGTCAGCACTCTCAACCTGCCTACAGCCAGCTGTCGGGTGGACTCCGGGACGCCAAAGGGCTGGGCAAAGGTGTTTCGAAACCGGCAGGAACTCCCGGAAACTCCCCCGTTCGAGCTTCTGTCTCGGCTTTGCTCCATGATGGTGCTGGCCAGCTCAGCACCCTCATCGGACGTGATGCGGACTACTCGTTGGCACTTGCTCCTCCCACCGAAGCTCAACTCCGACTGCGAGATGTGCTGTGCCCCGTCGCTATCATAAGCACCGGGTTTTTGTACCGTCGTCTGGAGGGTATGGAAGGCACGAACCTCGACTCCCCGTTCATCCTTGATACTCACGCCAGCTGCACAGCCCATGAGCCACCAGCTAATAGCAATTTACAACGCTGCAAGGCTGAACTGTGCACTTGAGCCACTTGAGTCTCCTGCGGGCATTCTTGTGTCAGCACGCGCCCATAGTTCATTCTATGTGTGGCTTGAAAGCACCGTAGAGATCTGGCACGGCATGCCAGCCCCGCAAAAACCGTTACAAAAGAGATCAACAGGATCAACACATTTACTCCATGCCCATGCCCAGCCTGTGAAGTCGGCATCCCTACCCTAGCGGCCCTAGCCCTACCGCCCTACCGGCTTCGCCGGTGAGGGAGACAGCTCCCCAGGCCCTAGACCGGGGCTTATGGCAGCGGCATGCAGCAAAGCAAATGGAGGCATATGCTTCTGGTGCACAAGGCTTTGCCTCCAGCAACATAGACTTCGTGGCAGGCCCCAGACAAACATAAGAACATCTCAGGGGAAACAGCACCCGTCCTGACATCTCCTGTCCAGAATTTGCTGGAGGCCCCAACTCCAAGGCGCCAGGGCCGCAGAGGCATGGCTCTGTGGCTGATGCATGTTGACACTCGAAAAAAGACCCTGCTTTCGTCAGGTGTTCCCTGTTCTGTGCCCTGTTGAGACTCTCCATGCTGTCACAGTGGAAGTTCCACAGCGGCGCAACGCACAAGAGGCTGCACATCTGCTATCTCCACATCTATCCACTTCAGCTCCATTACTGCCAAATTTCACCAAGGGACACAGAGTCCAGGATCAGCACGTAGATGTTGGGCTGCCGGGCTAGGTGTGTGGGTCCTCAGCGTTGGAAGGACCCGCCTACGCCTGGAAGTCCTGCAGTCAGCACAATGTCATGTCCACCCAATGTCCTCGAGCATGACGCCTTGGCACCTCTTGGACCGAAGGGAACGCCGACGTATGCAGCCTAGTCTATGCAGCGAGGTGCTGGGTCTGAGTCGGTCCCTGTCATGCTTCGTTCCTTTTCTCAACTTCCCCTGTCGATCTGAGACACGAACGCGCTCCTGCCTCCACCCTCCACGAGGACGCTGGCGCCTCTTACCTGCGACAAGCTGAGCAGCAACTCTCCCCCTAAATCAGGGTTGATTCTAGGCAGTTCGTGGCAATGGTTGCCCCCCATGTGCATGAAGACTTGTGCTAGTGAGCAGTGACGTTGCTGTTGGGAGCTTGCCGGCTGCAGGCTACAGTGGTCTCGGAGGGACAAGTATGGACAGGTCTTTGGAAATCACTTTGCGGTGCAAGTTGATGAATCATCGATAAGGGTACCCACACACGTAAAAGGCGGGGCACCCCATACACGAAGATACCACTACTTCCAAACAGACCAAAAGGCTCGTGGCGGCCTTGATACGGGCACCATCACGTCCTGCAAGATCTTCGGCATTCCCCTGCGTTGCCGCACTCATTAGGCCACGAAGGCTACCATCAGCTGCCCTTCATTTTCATGCAGAAGTTCCCTCGCAAACTATCTAGCAGCCCTACAGTCAAGTACTGCGCACATCAGGTTACGCACTGGTTCAGGGACAGGTTCAGTCTACGTAACTCCGTGTAGACTGATGCAATCAAAACTAAGAATAGGAAGACGATAACGTCATCGAAATCAATCATCATCAGCCATCATATGCCGTCATCATGATCATCATTCCCGTTCTCACTATCATCAACAATCATCTATCATGAGCCATGATCCTCCTGATATTATCTGACTCATCATCATCACCAGCACCACCACAACTCACACCCTGTTCGATCTCCTATATGCACATAACACATGCCACAACAAGCCGCCCAGCTCAGCCCCCCCCCCTTCCCGACCCCCCCCCGATTTGTCCTGCTGCGAGCTTGTACGAGAAAGGTTTCTTGCTGGTGGCGGAAGGCAGAACGCGGACCCGGAACTCGCCCTCCTGCACAAGCCGGGAGCTGACAAGGTTAGACCAAAGCGGAGCCTGCAGGCATTCCAGTGTGTTCGGGGGCCTCAAAGATTGTGAGGTTTCCACCTTCAAGTTTGCTTGGCCTTGGAAACAGGTCAGAGAGTATCCTGGCACTTGCCCGGCGCGAACAACCTGGTTACCTCATCATACGTATGCATGAAGGGGCTGCGGCAGCCAGAAGTCTGTCGTCTGCACGCAAGGAGCCTGGCAACGACAGAACCTCTTCCCTCGAATTCTGCCTCTTGATTGTTGCCGAACCCAGGCTTTGCTTTCGCCCAGTCTCATCTCTTCTGGCAGGCATGAGACACGGGACGACGCCACCCAACACTCCAGACGGGTGGGGAAAACACAAGTTATCATGAAACTGTGGGAAACCTTCTGGTGGTGGAGTTGTTCTCGTTGTGTCTGGTGGTTCTGCCTCAAGCCGCGGGCAGGTTCCAACTGGCAAGACTGGTACAGAGAGGTTGTATTTATTTCGTTTTCCATGTTCTTTTCGACTTCGTTCTGTCGTCGTTTCGAGGGGCTTGGGGACTAGTTTTCGCGTGGTGCAAGGCCCGGGTGTTGGAGGTTCTCCCCTTCTGCCTCTTCTTCTGTCAGGGAGCTCCGAGGCCGGGACCCTTCATGGAGGTGCACACCTTGAAAGCTTCTCCCAACACCAACAGCTCGTCCTCTACCCGCGCAGAGGATCCTTCCTTCCTTCGTGCGAGCGAAGCGTGACCCCCGAAAGGGCTTGGAACGCGAGTGATGCTGTCCCCGCGTTTGTGCGCACGTGGTCCAAAGATACTCGTGAGCCTCGGGAGGAGAACTCTGTGCCGCAGTCTTGGTCGCGGAGGGCAACATGCGATTGACGGCATCTGGGGATCTTGCACCTCTTGGCATTGCTGAAGACGGATGAGTGCAAAGCAATGACACACGACAGAAACTCATGTGCTGCCACATGCTGTCGCCGTGCCCAAATGCGCCTAAAGTATAGATGCAGCCACTAAGGGGCGCATGTTTGGAAAGTGTGTCAGGGCCGGTGACGCCTTGGTTGACGTACGTAGACGAAACCCCAGACGGTGCCTGTTAATCACGAGACTCTTCATGTGACCAAGAGGCCCATGGTGCACACTAGGCACATGGTCCTAAACTGTCTTTTGGTTGAGCGAAAGGAAGGACAAACTGCATTAGGTCATTTCTCACTCTGTTGCTGTGGCCAAATTCCAGAGCTAGCATGGCCTGCTTGTGGTAATCATTCCAGCGGTGAGAGCTCTTCCACCGAACGCCCGGCCCCTTCTCTCTCTTTGCTGGTGCGCAAGATTCATCAAAAATTCTAGCTGGAGTGGCCAGGGCGCCCGCAAGGCATGTTGCAAACCAAGGGGAGACGGGCCAAGAAAGCCACCCGTAGTGACGCCTGCTTCTACTGAGTGGTCGGCCCTTGTCGATGCCCCCGCCTTTTTAGTTTTTAGCTGTGATATGTTGGGATCCCCCGTGTTGTTGTGCCATGCTTGTTGCTGGTTGCCATCTTTTCACCATGCGTGGATCTCAGCTTTGGTCATCAAAGGTTAGAAAAGACTCAAAGCTAGGCCCTCAACCTGTCCCCCAGACCATTTCTCAAACATGATCGGATACAGCACTCATATCGGTGGCTCTCCTCGCTCGTCTCTGTCGTCTTAGGTCCCTCCATGGCTCGACATCAGCAGACTCGGCACTCGAGTCACAGCACTTGTCAAGGCAACTTCCAGAACCAGCTCCCAATCTTGCACAGTAAACCGGGGGGAAGGGGGGGAGGGGTGCCTCCGGTGCTGGCTCTAGTTCTGAGGCAATCGTGCGTAGGTTGTCGCGTAGCTGTCTGACCTTCAGGCTCCCGAGCTGTAGGCGCGGATAACATGTGAGCATCAGCTGAGGCTACCGCACACGCGGTGTCGCCACGGAATCCTTCTTCGGCATCCTGTATGGACACCTGAGAAAGGACACACAGAGTTGCCACTTATTCTTATTCGTATTCTTGTTCTTATTCTTACGTAACATGAATAATATTCATATCAATATGCTGTAGAAGCACACGCAGCCTGTAGCCAGCCCAACCCTATTGTGCAATCCAAGGAGCTGCAGCCGTCGCGAGGCAGGTCCACAATGCCCTCATGTCTCGACGACATGCTGGGCAGTTTCATGTGGCTAGCAGCGGCTAGCATGTTCTATCTAGGATGCTGGTCAACCTTCCAGAAAGACCCGCATCTCGACTCGTTAAGCCTCCCGTATCAGTCGATCCTAGTGGCACCCACTGACTTTGCAGCGTCCCTGGCTTTTGAGCACTGCAAGGCAAACTATCACACACTACTTGCAACACAGCAAGGCAATTCCGGTGCTGCTTGCTTCAAGTGTCCCAAGATCGTCAAAAGCCCTACGTCACACAGAACAGCACAGGAAGCACAGGCACCTCGAAGGACTTCGCCCTGGGCTGGCTAACACGAGCTCTGCTTTCAGGTGCAACAGGGCTTTCAAAAACGCTATCAGCATTTGTCAGCCGTCCCGCCGCAGTCTCACACACGCGCGACCGTGCAGCACCGCTAGGACCGCGTAGGGGCTGCACACCCATGGAGCTGGTGCGCTGCAGTTGTTGCAACGCCTTGGATCTGGTGACGCGGTGAGCCAACACATCATATTGCCCTGACATTGCCCTATATCCCCATCCCTCGAAAGTCCTCTAGAATCACTCTCTGCTGTCCTTTCCATTTCCAGGCCACCTCCCTCTCACCTCCTTTCTCTAACTGTTTGCGGTCCTTTGCAAGCATCTCTGTGGCCACGGCTGTCGTTCGGGCTTGTTGTCCTCACCACACTGCGCACCTCAATGAAGGTGCCACAATCCCGCGTGAACTGCGAGTGGCCAGTTCTCTGAACCATCGTCCATTTTCAGGTCCCGGCTCAACTACGACCCACACGCAGATGACAGAAGACTTGTATACTCTGCTCTTCTGACCTGACTGGGACCCAAGCATTCCCACCGCTCACGGGTCGGAGAGGCTGTGTCCTTCAAGCGAGTCCCCGGCTCAGTTTTTCCGGCTTTCGAACGAAAGTCAAATTTGGCTTCACAAGGTCCAACAAGGTGCGAGATGACCCTCCCGACTGCCTAGGCAAACAGTCCTCCATGGAGGCCAACCTCTCCAGCCTCCTTCTCTGCAAGGCTGCCTGGATGAACTCCTCACAGTAATGTGCCGGTCCCCATTCGGAAGCCACAGCATGCGAATCTGTTACGCACTCTTTTGTTTTGCGCCGAGCACGCAAGGCCCCTCAGGTTGATTCTCCTCGCAGGCCGACTTTGACAGACATGCATTGGACATTGTTACATTGTTACATTGACCTCACCGTTTGTTGTACTGCTTGCAACAAAACGATCGAGAAGAGCTCTCCCGGCCTGTTGGCGCTTGCTTGTCCAAGGACTGCTGCAATGATCGAGTCTGCTCCCTTGCAGCAATGTACTTTGCCTCAGCTGCATCACATCACGCCATGCACGCTGCATGGCGAGCACTCTTAGCAGACCACCATCAGCTGCGTAGAGCGCAGCGAGGTGTGCCAAAGCATCTGCCCCACGTAGTCACCTTGGAGGTACGTCCGATCAAGAGGTTGAAAGCAAGTGTGGACGTTGCATCCGAAGCATGGAAGCTGCGAGCGTTTGTTGTCATGTCACGCTGCCGGTCAGCTGCAAGCTGTTGCCAGCGCTCGCTGAGATAGCCCCTGTCCAACAGATCGGAAGACCGCAAGCACCATGCGTGGTGGCCTACGCTATATTCACCTGAACATTGAACAGCTAGCCTCAACTCTTCCTCCAGGCGAGTCCTTGGCTGCGGCTTTGGCAGTTGCAGTGGGCACTGTCGAAGAGTGATAGCACTGAGGGATACTTTCTGTACCTCAAGTCGGAGACAACACGGCCATTTCAATTCATTGCGGCATGTTGATGCATGTTGGCCCACCCTCCACGGATGCAGGGGGGGGGGGGGGGAATTCCTGTCTTTTTTGAGATGTTTTCGTCACAGCCAGAATGTCTGGTGGTTGGATCCAGTTTGTTGGATCACATCGGAACGCCGACCCTCGTACTGCAGGTGGAGTCTCCTGCTCTTTGGCACAAGCATGTGGTCATCATCTGGCTACCTGCGAAACCAACCGCCTTCTGATTATTTTATGGCTCCGAAATACTGGGTACATGACAAGCGCGACTACAGTGTAGACTACATGCAGCTTCTGCCAAACGAAACACAAAACAACACCGTTAGTGGCACAGAAACAAAAAAATCGTGTTGTGCAGCTCCTCAAAAAGAAACATAGAAAGCCGCTCGCTGATGTGCAGAGGAACGGGCACTTTCCAAACGAGGGTCTACTTTTAGCACCACCTAAATAGAATACTTCTCTACACAAAGGACCTCACCCCAAGAAAGAGACCCATCATTCCAAGAAAGTCCCAGTTCAATTATGACTCGATACAACAAGCCGCCGCTCATCCACACAGCTATTTCACAAGCTGATCTGGAAGGGTTGCGGCACGGAGAGAAGTGGTGGCTGCAGCAACGGAACTGATGCTACTGCTGCTGACAGTATCACGGTTTTTGGTCCGGGCCTGGCCAGGACTAACATCCGCAAATTGCTTGAGCTTGTGCTGAGCTTAAGATTGAAAGCAGGCAAAACTCAAACGCCAAAGCCTGGCTGTCGGGCATGTCGATGTTAACTACTGCCAATCCATACGAGCTACGACGATTTAGGGCTTTTGGTTTGGATTAGGGCTCACGCCATGACACAGCTTCCCCAAATCTAATGACAAAATACTACTACAGTACATACTACCCAGCAATCAACTCTACCAATGCTTTGCTGAGCTCGAAGCCCAAGCCCAAAACTTTACTACGCTATGTGCTACCGATGTGTTTCTTGCGACGTCGCTTGCTCACCAGCGAAGGCCAAATCCGAAAAGCTCCGCGCACTGCGCCGCTCCTCGGTGGCACATCCCCTGTGTGTGTGTGTGTGTGTGTGTGTGTGTGTGTGTGTGCGCGTGTGCGTGCGTGCGTGCGTGCGTGCGTGCGTGCGTGCGGGCGGGCGTGCGGGCGTGCGGGCGTGCGGGCGTGCGTGCGTGCGTGCGGGCGTGCGTGCGTGCGTGCGTGCGTGCGTGCGTGCGTGCGTGCGTGCGTGCGTGCGTGCGTGCGTGCGTGCGTGCGTGCGTGCGTGCGTGCGTGCGTGCGTGCGTGCGTGCGTGCGTGCGTGCGTGCGTGCGTGCGTGCGTGCTTGCGTGCGTGCGTGCGTGCGTGCGTGCGTGCGTGCGTGCGTGCGTGCGTGCGTGCGTGCGTGCGTGCGTGCGTGCGTGCGTGCGTGCGTGCGTGCGTGCGTGCGTGCGTGCGTGCGTGTGCTTGCGGGTGGCGTGTGTGCGTGTGTGCGTGTGGGCGTGTTGGGCGCGTGTGGGCGGCGCGGGCCGCGTGCGCGCGCGTGGCTCCCGTGCGCCCCGTGCGCCCGTGCCCGTGCGCCCGTGGGCCCCGTGGCGCCCGTGCGCCCCCCGTGCGCCGCGGCGCCCGCGTGCGCCCGCGTGCGCCCAGCGTGCGCCCGCGTGCGCCCGCGTGCGCCCGCGGCGCCGCGTGCGCCGCGTGCGCCCGCGGGCGCCCGTGCGCCCGGGCGCGGCCGTGCGCCGGCGCCCTGGCGCCCGTGCGCCCGTGCGCTCCGTGCGCCCGGCGCCCGTGCGCCCGTGCGCCCGTTGCGCCCGTCGCCCCGTGCGCCCCAGTGCGCCCGTGCGCCCGTGCGCCCGTGCGCGCGTGCGGGTGCGGGTGCGGGTGCGTGTGCGTGTGCGTGTGCGTGTGCGTGTGCGTGCGTGCGTGCAACTTGGATTCTTGTAAGTTTCAAGGGCTGGGATTGCCCCAATGCACGCGGTATGCTCGCACTAGTGCGCTGTTTTCTGGTTCCTGGACAAAGTGAAACAGTTTCGACTACTAGGATAGAGCACTGCGCATGTGACGCTCCTCTGTTGTTGCTGCTGCTGTTTCTGCTGCTGCACTAACGTGTGCAGGGTTCTGCCCAAGAAGCCCAGGTCGTTCTTAGCAACGTTCTTGCTAAACTGCTTACAATTCGAAACCCGAAACCAGGGCTACTTCTCAAGAACCGAGATTCATGTTGACAGCATCTGGGCCCAGCTCCAGTGCCGCCATGTTGCCCATCAAGTGAATTGGAAGCTGTCCCCATTGCAAGTTTTCGGAAAGCACCGGCAAGCCATTCACAATGCGTACGGGATGGGTGTGCTGCCTTGGTTGCTCAGCAACTTGGCCTACTGTAAGGAAGGTTAAACACTTATCTAGTCGTTGCAATGCAGTATGTAATTACTCTGCAGTTAGTTCCTGTATAGTTACCATATGGTTGCTATATCGATCTATACTATCTATACTAGTTACTTTTAACCATGGTAGGTAATGTCATTGTTTACGTAGTCAAAGTCTTTATGCTTTTGGACTGATAAGCTGCAAATTGGCAAGCAGGGGATCCGTGAAAATGTCGACTTTGGCACCTGTTGCGCAGATGAGGTGATCGGTCCTCATGACGGTGCCGTTGCCGAGAACCAACATCCAGCCTCCGTCCCAGGATGCCGACGCTATCTCCGTGAACTCATGTACCTTCACCTGGCCCTGGGCCTCAAGCTTGGACAGAACCACGTCCATCTCGGGGGTGATGGAACCACCATCGCGTACAGACTTCATGATTGCTGCACGATCCTCCAGTGGAGTCTTCTCGAACTGCTGTCGAAGCTGCCTGCGGTTCGCCGTCGCTGCCATCCAGGACAAATCAAGATCCCACTGCTTCACGCGGCGGCCCCTGCGGATGAGCAAATCGATTTGGCAATGCTTCCCGAGCTGCGTGCACAAGTGCGCTGAGGTGAGTCCACCGCCAACGATGACGCAGTGGCCCCTGATCCTGCTTGTGCGCGCAGGATCGTCAAACAGGTCCCAGGCGTGATAGACTTTGGCGCGGGCGGCTCGATCCAGTGCTTCGTAAAACGAAGGCCACTGTCGGCACCAGGTGGGCCCGCGGGCCACAACCACATGCCTGGCGAGGATGACACATCGGCCTTGAGCAGAAGTCACATGCACTTTCACGCCAGACTGATCGTCACAAGGCTCCAGTGATTCCACATGGGCATGCCACAGGCGATCTTCCAAGTGCCCAATGTGCACAAGATGCTGGCAGAAATCAACCATCAGATCATGAGAAGGCGCCTTAAAATTCCCATGCCAGCTGCGGTCTTGGGGCAAGTTCTCCAAAGTAAGAAAATCATCTCGATTGTTGCTCATCGCCCAGACTGAGAGTGATGTATGGGAAAAGGCATCAGGGTGCATCTCATCATGGGACCGCAGAAAATCAATGCCCAATGCTTCGAACTGATGCTTCCATCTTGTCATCCAGGCTCCACTGTCATCTACCACTGCGAACGTGTGGCTGCCAGCTTTGGGGAAGGTTTCCAGGTGTGCTTTCACATCTCTAGCCTCTTTCCACTCGCACAAACAGTCCTGGAAAGCCTTCTGCCCCAACATCAATCTGGATGCCATGGCCAGGCCATGTGGTCCTGCACCAATAATAAGGACATCGACAGTTGCTGGTGGAACTCGAAGTCCAGCATCTGCTTTCACACCCATGCTGGTGGTGCATCTAACTCAACAAATTTGCTCGATGCAGGAGGTGTCTCGGTGGGCGGCGCGTGTTCACTCCACAAGTTAATGCAGGCCTACTCCTCTTACTACCACTGCTCCTACTCCTGCTACTCAGTTGACCCTAAGCTCGACAGGAACCCGATTCTCTCGCAACCCCATGAAAGCCCTCAAGCCAATTGGGATTGGACCTTGGGATGGTCTGGGATGGTTTGAACTTGAGAGTGAGGAAATCTGTAATGAAGCAAGGGCAGCCTCACGGGTTGATTGATCCAGGGTTCCTTTTGGGCAGCATTCCAACCTTCTTTCGGGGATGGCCAAGCTACTCATCGAAGTGCTCAATAAGGAGCTCCGTGGCCCGCTGCTGTTGCTCCTTGCCGTCAACTTGCTCTCCCAGCAAGCAGCTACTTCTACTGGTAGCAGCTTTGCGAAGGTTTGCACAAGTCTTCCAGTGCAACGATGCGTTTGTCAGCGCCTGCCACCGGCACGGATCACGCAAGGCTTCTGCAATGCCCTCGGCGAAGGCCCCTGCGTCCTGCTGAGCAGACCAGACAAGACATCCGGCCGTTCCCTTCCAAAGTGCCTCCCCAAACCAGGTGTCCTCCCCTCCCGTCTGCACCACATAGCCCGGGAAGCTCTCAGGCGAGGCAATGCCCTCCACGCCCACGGGGGTGGTGACCACGACTAGGCCATGCTGCATGGCCTCCAGGACCTCAAGTCACGTCGAGAATCTTAAAAACAAAAAAACCTTCGCAGCCTATGTGGAAATTCTCTGTCTGCGGTCGGCCTTTCCCTTCACACCGGCGCCATAGCGCAATGGCGCCACCAGAAGCCGGTGTTGCCGCATGGCTTTCTGCACCGAGCGGCAGTAGCCGCGCACCTCAAAGAATAAGAAGGCAACACCGAAATCACTGTCTGTAAGGCTTGGGCCGGTTAAGACAAGGCCAAAGGCAGTGAGGCTGCGGCATAGGCACCGAGACTCTCTTGAGTCAGGGCAGCATCGTCTGGAGTCTGATTTGCGCCATAGACACTCAGCTCCAGGTCGGGAAACCGCTGGCGCACCAGTGGCCATACCTCTTGGATCAGCCACTTGGCGCAGTCCCGATTTGGTCTGTGGCGCCAGTTCCTTCGGAAGGGGTTCGAGATGCCTCTAGAGATCGTGAACGCGAGAGCATGGCATCCAAAGACAAGAACCACCAGGAATCAGGTTGAGCACAGCCAAGTCCGCAAACGCGCTGCTTGCTTTTGCTTTTGAGGCTTCCGAGGCCGACAAAGGAACGTGACAAAGCAGCTGAGGTGCTTGTGTGGGCCATCAAAGGCCGGAAGGAAAGCACAAGCTTGTTAGTCCAAGGCTCCCGATAAACATGGCGCCCTGCCGATCTTCATACCCTGGAAGAGCACCAGACCGGGCAAAGCCGAAGGGGGCTGCAAAGACCTGCACCCACACAGAAAACATATTATAGTATGTGATGGTATATAGTATATTATAGTAGATTATATAGTGTCTTATAGCATATTATAGTATATTATCGTATATTGTCAAATTGTAGTATATTATAGTGTATTCTAGTATATTAAAGTATATTATAGTATATCTACGCAAAACTGCACGTCACTTGTTGGCCGCATGGCTGCGACCTTCCAGCCAGGCACGCCATAGGTGTCCACTAGAAGCTTCCTCTCATCCTCCGAGATGGCGAGCGTCGCATCGCATCCTCTGATGTGGGAATTATAGTTTGTTATATTATATTTAGTATATTATAGTACATGATAGTATACTATAGTACATTATAGCATATGACAGAATATTATAGTATACTCTTATTTCTTGTAGTATATCCCCGGCTTCCTAGTCCAAAGCGAGCTCAGAGCTTGTTCATAACGGACCACCGCTTAGACCAGGCGTCGGTGGATGGACGCCAGCTCGCGCTGCAAGTCGTCGTCAAAGGCTGTCGGGCGGTAGGATACCTTGGGCGGAGCTCAAGAGCTCAGCCACAGGAATGTCTCGGTGGTGGCAATCTGCAAGCACTTCATGTATTTTCTTGCAGTTCTGGGCACAACCGTGCTGGCATCCGCGGCATCTTCAATCAGACGCTCACGACCTGCCGTGCGCTTGCTTTTGGAACTTGAGACACTGAACCCACCATAGCTACTGCATGTGCTTGTCAACTTGGCTCAGCGCCCAGACGAAGAGCATGGAAGTCTTGCATGTCCTTTCCCAGCCAAATGCCCTACGACTCAATCCCTGCCAAGCGCCGCAGTGTTGACACGAAGAATGCAAGGGTTGATAGTCCAGGATGCGCATGCTGTCCGGCAGCTTGTCTCGGACATAGTGCCCAAACCTTCCATGTCTATCTTCACGCCAGCTAAAGAAAGCGCCTTCGAGCATGTTCCCGTGCCCAGCCACCTCTCTTCAGCATTGAAGCCATCGAACAGGACCAGTTCTGGATTTCCAGCAGATTCCTGAGTGCGGGCAGTCAGCTCCGTGAGCCATCGCGAGGCCGAAAACAGATGAAATCCCGACCGGGATAGGGCCGCAACCCGGATGAAGCCAAGCTGTTCTTCACAACAGCCGAAGCTTGAACTCCCCCAACGTTTGTTTCGCAACACCGCAAAGCATCGAGCGCCGCCACCACAGAGGCCTCATCGTTGGTCTTGATACCTCAACACTTGTCCAGTAACCTGGGGGAACTAAAGTATTATAAGGGGATTATATTACCCCAAAAAGGTTAAAGGTTACCTACTCTATACTACTAAGAACAAGACCATTCAGGATGCCACAGGGCACAAACCACCATAGCAGTTGAAGAGCCTTCTGCCAAGAAGCGAAAGCACTGCACATCATTTGCGGCCGACAGCTTTCCCTGAGCACTGCCGGGACGGGCCGCCGAAGCAAAGGATACCGCATTGCCAGATTCCTGACGAACATGATGCATGCTTACCTCATGATCACAAGCTTCGTGATGCAGAGACTGCCCATGACTGCACTGCGACTTCTGCAAAGGTGGCGAGCGTCGAGGCTGCAGAAGCTGCGCAGCAGCCGAAGCCGGCCAGAAGTCACCCGACCGGCTGCAGACACATCTGGGTCAGGCCAGTTTGTGCTGATGACCTGAGCGCTCTCCAGCCACAATCAGACTAGCTCAGCATCTACCTTGAGGAGGATTTCCAGCCAAAGGGCCATTGCGCGGCGTGGAGCATTTGGTCTTCGGCATGCCTCCGATCGCGCCAGGTTCCCCGAGGTCGCGGATGAGCGAGGCGTGCCCTTGACGCGGCGGAAGATGATGGCCACGCGCCGCTTCGAGAGGAAGTCTTCCTCAGGGTGGCATGATGGCATGCGCTCGCTCGGCAGAGGGAGCGAAGAGACAGAGAGAAAAGGGAGAGCAGAGAGGAAGCGAGAGAGAAAGAATTTTTAAAACAAGTCAGGAATGGAGTAAAGATAGTGCCGTTTGAGGAGGGCATGCATGAAGGATAAGGCGGGCAGCTGTGCTCTCACAGGAAGGTCATCTTCACATGCGTGCTCGAGAACTAACCGATGAACCCATGCATCCCGCCGCAAACTGCCGCCCAGCTACAGGCTCGGGAATGCCATGTTGCCATTCATAGCCTTGCTGCAAAAGACTGATGATCTTGGGCAGACTCCCTTAACCAGCAAAACCCGCGAGCCCGGCGTGCAGCGCCGCGCAGCACCAGCAGGGAGCGAGCCGGGATGGCGACGCGCAATGGTGCAACTCCTGCCCCAAGCATCCACAGCTGAGAGCGGGTCTATGCTCGCACTAGACCACGATATCTGATAGATGATGTGCACCCATGTGCTGCATGCCAGAAAGCGGACCACAAGGGGAGCACCCTGGCTTGACAACACATGCAGACACAGTGGTCGACAAGTGCAATGAGTCCAATGCCTTGAGTCTCGGACGAGGACGACGAGGAGCTGAGGTTAGACCTCCCTCCCAGCTGGAAAGTCATCATGCATTCGCCCATGACCGTGACGGAGCAGACGCACTCTTCGTAAAGGCCTTGCAAGAATGAAGAAGTCTCAAGAGACAAGTAGAGCGAAAGAGACAGAGTGAAGCGGAGAGGCTGAGAAGATGACTGCAGCTCCCTAGTCTTTTTTCTCGTCTTGAGAGCAGACTTGTAGAAGGCGTTAAGGACTCCAAAAAGCCGTGGAAGGGAGTCTATTAACAGGAGCACCTATTCGAGGTCAGGCGGCCTACACTCCTCGCAGATCTTCTTTGTTTCTTTACTTATACTTCGGTTTCAGAGAAACTGCGATGCAACTCCGGGCGGCCACGATCGTCCCAGTGGAGAAGTAGCCTGGAGCCGTCACGGCTGTAATCGTTCACATTGGCCTCAGGAAGTGCCGAGGCCAATTCCTCCCTGCCGCAGTAGCATGCTCCAACGTGCCATAACTAAGCACAAAGAAGCTCTTTTGCAAATCACGCCCTTGCATAAGTAATCCGGCCGGCCTCATTTGCCACGAATCCCTTCAGGCAGCGGCTCCATGGGAGTCCTGGTTGCGAGAGCCTCTGTGACACCTTGAGGCGCCAGGCAGATAATTAACCCTAAACCTTTTGCAGCTGGACTTCTCACCACTGCCTCACCCTTATTCCCCAAGCAGAACAGGACTAAACCCCAAATCCTAAACCCTAAGCCCTAAACCCTATGAGGGATGCTTCGGGGAGGCCCGAGGGAGCTGCCTGCCCGAGGATGCCATCGGATGGCAGGTCCACTTCGCCGAGCTTAGGATCGGGAAGGCCTCTGGAGCTCTAAAGATTTAAATTTAGGGTTTAGGGTTTAGGGTTTAGGGTTTAGGGTTTAGGGTTTAGGGTTTAGGGGGTTTAGGGTTTAGGGGGTTACTCAATGGTCATGTGACAATCATTCTGGCACGTTTGTGGGGCCCAAAAGTCAAACAGTCCTACATGAAAGTGCCCCGTTAACCCAACGCAGATCAACCGCAGGGATTTGAGGTCAGAGACGGTGCACCCTCTTTGCAGACAAAGCCCCCGCATACCCCCGCCAAACCGCGAAACATAAACATCGATGACCTTCTATAACTTCACGTGCACGTCCTGGCGAAAACAAAAAGTTGACTCGGGCCCTGGGCTTTAGGCTTTGGGTTGGGCGTTGAACAAAAAGCTTATCTGGAACTGCTGACCCAAGGAACGCACCACACGCGGCCTCAGTGATCCCAGAACGCCGAAGTGCTTCACCTCGGTCGCCGCGGTCAGACAAGCCACCCACTGAACCTGACGCGGCCTGGAAAACCAGATCCTCCATGACTGTTGAATGCTGAGGCGCACGGTATAGAGTAGGAACTCCGAACTGCTCCTGAGGTGATCGGATCTGTGTGCATGAAGGCGGTTGGCAGTTAGAGTGCAAGATCCACATACATCTACAGCCCTTAAACCCTAAACCCTAAACCCTAAACTCTAAACCCAATTTCTACATTGGCCCTGGAACCTTAGAACCTTAGATTCTGCAGCTGCGGGCATCTGTCTCCTGCCGCCACTCGGGGTCCCCGTTGTCCAAGAACTCGGCCAGCTCATGCCCTTAAGGGGGGACACATCGAATGAGGTTGAAGTATGGTATATATATATATATGTATATATATATATATATATATACACTTCTTGTACCCCCAAAAAAGGACACCCGGTATAGACACTCACCAATATGATAAAGGAACCTTATATACACTCACCAATAACAGAAATATAGACCCTACGCCCTACTTCACATGAAGTCATGTTTGGCTTAACTTCTTTCACTCACAGGGCCCAGGGCTGGGGATGCAAGACCCAGTCTCCCTCCTCCTCCGTCAGGAACTCCGGGAAGAGATGAAACCCCTTCACCTGCTTCACGGCCTCCTCCACGCTCACGACCTCCACAGAGCAGAGCAGCGCCATTATATGCGTTGTGCAAACCACCTATCCAATTCTCCTGGGCTGAGAACTGCTTCACCTTTCCGATCTGAGAAGGGCACGATGGTGCACTGCAAGTCTTAGATGACCCCTGATGAAGTCTAGCAGGTCTAGCAGGTATATCTGGCGATACATGTGGGGAAAGTCCACCTTGCCTGGCAGGCCCTCGTGCACCGTGGTCGCAGCCTCGGGCCGCGTGAGCAGCGGGAGACGGCAGCACCGCCTCTCGAGACTCAAGAAGGAAAGAAGCACCAAAAAGGCAGAGGGCCACAGAGGTTCTCCATGACCGAGCTTCTCTTACCAGAGAGACACAGAAACCAGCTGAGTGCAGCTCTTACTGTTCTTCCTGCTGCAAATCCCTTCGCGCCAATGTTTCCGGGCCTGAGGCACACAGCCTCAGCTAGACAGAGCTGCGAACTCCAGATGACTGGCGTGCCGCTACCTGCTTCCTCCTCTAGGGCTTTCCCCTGCCTGCTTTTTGGTAAAACAAACTGGGTCCCGGGCACGGGAAGCACCGCTGCAGTCAGCGGAGTCGCACGGTGCCGCGCCTTTCACAGTGGTTCCTTCCTAAAAAACGCTTCCCGGAGGTTGGGAGGCTTAATCTTTGCTCTTGTTGTATGCACAGACGGATGCGGATCGCATTGCTGAGACAGTTTTGTACAGTTCAGTGCAGTCACAGCAAAGTACTGCATATGTGGTATGTGGCGCAGTACCTAGTACAATTCTTGCTTTGTTACGACTCCAACTCTTTACTAAAATCTTGTTGCTGGTGGGTATGTCTGCTTTCTTCCCGAAGCGACGTTGGCCTCCGTTAACTGCGAGCTTGCTTGAGTTGCGGATGACTCATGCGTCATACGGACGGTCCAAGCTCTATGGCTCCGAGACCTGGGCCAAGTGGTGCCGCTGCTGCAGCGTGGCAGCATTTGAGACCAGCGAGGGGCGCAGCCCTGGCGCGGTGAGCGCCGCGAGGATGCTGGGCCCAGCGATCACACTCGGTGCGTGACCCATCGTTGGCGGCGAGCTACGGAACCAGAAGCTAAGGTTCTCATAGGTTATAAGGGTATCAAACGTTTTCGGAAGCAACTGTGCGGCAATGGGAGGCTTCGGCATGGATTGCTGGTGGTTCTGTGCGTCTTTGTGTTCCGGGTCCTCTGAGCCCAGAGATTGAAGGCGTTGGGCAACTTCCCTGTCCTCAATGAAGGCTAGAACCCACAACATAGGGCTGGCAAAGGGTGGCTGGCAGGAATTGGAAGCTTGCGCGTCCCCGGAAAGTCCTGGGACGAGCTTCGAACCAAGGATACCTCCTCCTCTTTCGCCTTCTTCTCTTGCTCTTCGAGAGCTGCTTTCCGAGCTTCCTGCGCCAGCACAGCCTACTGCCAGACTCCCAGCTATGTGCAACATCGTGATGTCACTCTCGTTTTCAGAGCTACAAAGGCAAATCGCCCCAATTCGGTGAGAAACTTGCATGCTGCCAGGGCAGCGCAGCCGGCCTCGCAGAAAGCTAAGGCAATTTCGCAGGAAAACGAGTCAAACTGCTCTTTTACAAGAAGGTCTGTGAAAAGCATTAGAGCCAGCTGCCATTCTTGAGCTTTTGCACATGAAGAGATGGCGGAGTTGTTTGTCATAACGTTGCCAACCAGCCGCTTGGACGACAAGTCCGACAGCAACAGCAGCGACTTGCGCCACGCACAGCTGCCCTCACATGCTGCCAGTGTCGCACTGTAGACCGAAAGACCAGCCATGGATTCCAGCTTTTCCAGGCACTGAGCAGATCTGCGCCATTGTCCGGCATTTCCCAGAGCTGCAAGCAGGGCGTTGAAAGTGATGACATCTGCCTGTAGGTGCATGCAGCTAGCACCGTCAAGCAGAACCCATGCAAGCATCCATCTCTCGCTCTTCTCACACGCACTGATGCTCGCGTTGTACGTGATGAGATCCTTCCGCAGCCGCTTCAGCTGCAGCTGTGCATGGAGAAGGAGAGCCTGCTCCCACTCTTTTGCGTTCTCGCAGGCACTGATAGCAGCACTATGCACAACTCGGTCTCCGGATATGAGGTTGTGCCCCATGGCATGGACCATGGCCAGCGCATCCTCCCAGCGCCCGCCTTTCTCGGCCGCACTTACAATTGCACCATAGGTGATGACATCCACCTGCACAGTGTTGGATAGCAACTTTGCAAACAAGGCCAGGGCTGGTTCCCGTTGTGTGGCTTTCCCGCAGGCACTCATGGCAGCACTGATAAGGATGGCATCACCCTCCAAGTTCTCCTCTTCCATTTCCATCAGCAAATGCAGGGCTTGCTGCCATTCCTCTGCTTTCTCACAGGCGCTGATGACGGTACTGTAGCTGATCACGTCACTGGAGATGAGCGCGGAGCGCATCCGGTGCAGGATCAGCATCGCACCTTGCCAGGCCTTGCCCCTCTCGCAGGCCCTCATGCCAATGCTGTAGGAAATTAGGTCCCTCTCAAGCCCTTCATGCCGCGTTGCAGAAAACAACCTCAGAGCCTCCTTCCACTTCCGGCATTTGAGAGCACTGGAGATGAGTAAGTTAAAGCTGCGGATGGCGAGATTGGGTCTCCAAGCCTGGCTCTTGTTCACATGAACCATTGCGCAGTCGTGCAGGCTTCATCTGCCCATGTTGGGGCGGCATCTGGGACCTTCGAATCATCGACTGATCCGTCGATGAAAACGGCCTGCCTGATCTGCGAGACGATTTTGGCTGCCAGTGCTTCGGGCCCACATGTTTGGCGGGCACGCGCTCACCGGACAATCAAATCACATTGAAACCTGACGAAGCTTAGCACATCTGGTTTTTGGGCGGGTCATGCGACGCTCTTTGCCTTATCAGTGGCCAATGCGTCCACATGCGCGGTGCATGTGCTGTGCACGTGTTCGCTGCACGGGTTCAAGTATAGGCATTTCTGATGAGAGGCCTACACCTACGCTGTTGTAGCACCAACAACAATCAAGGTCGTAGGGTCGCAAGCAGGCTTGCCAAAACCCATGAAGCTTGGCCTCTGCTTCCGCTTCTTTCTGCGCTTCAAGGGCCTTGCGCTCCTCCTGTGCTGGGCACAATGTGCGGACGAAGTAGGCCGAAGCAGGCTGTACTGCCGGGTTGAGAGGCCATAAGCTGCTGGGCCTCTGCTTTCCGTGCAGCATCAGCTTGACGTCTGGCCTCCTGACCACACGTGGTACCACCGTGCACCACGTCGTGTCACAGCTGACTTCACAGCAAAGCAGCTAAGCAGTCATAACTCAGCACCTCCTCTGCCTGTGCGGCTTGCTGGGCTGCGGCTTCGTCTGCCTTCACCTGCACGGATGGGCAAGCAAAAGCAGACCATGTAGCCCTACAAATCGAAAGGTATACCATTTGACTGGGCATGCTGTAGTGCCTTCTCCTCATTTTGAGCTGTAGCCTCCTCCTCTTCCTCGTAGGAGTAAGACCTAAGGAATCGAAGGGAATTTTGCAAACATTTAGAAAGTTTTCATTGGGTTTAGGGAGTTTAGGGCCAGGGTGTATTCCACCTGGAGGATTTCGGGTTCCGCTGTTGCAGGACTCTCCCCCGACGAGGTCTTTTGGGTCGGATGAATGTTTGCCTCCTGCATTGCTGAGCGAGTCACTTAGCAGGGTGTGAATTAACATTCCTGTAGATTCTCATGCATGGCACATCGGTTTAGGGCTTATTACCCAGACGGTAGAACGTTGTACCTTTTCTTGGTCAGCCAAAAGGGTACCTCGGTTCATGGTTAGGATCTGATATATAGAAACGTAGGTACCCTAACAAAGTGGCACTGTGTGACTTTGTCACTATGGTTACGACGGTTGAGATCCTGTGATAAGAAACCAAGGTAACCGAATTGCATTACAGGGTCTAGGTGGGAATTAATATTCCCCCCCTTGAGGGTATCACGCAGCATCAGAGAAACTTTACGGGATCTTCTTGGAAGTTTTGCAGCTCTGCGGTTTCAGTATGTGAGTATAGACTCTGGACTTGGAAGCAGGTTTCGGGACTTGAAAGCAAGTCTTGGGATGCGCAGCCGAGGTGTTTTCCCTAAAGTGACAGCACAGCAGATGCTCCTGTCACGTCCGTCTGTGAGCCATTGCTTCACTCAGCAGACATAATGGCCTGGACATGGCTTTGCACATCAAACCGAAGGGAACGACTCGCGGTCTTCAGAATCGTTTTTGCGCAGGTGGCAAATTGCAGTGTATGAGCTTTTGCTCGTATGGTACAGCAACGGTTGCCTACGTTGCCTCCGTTATTGCCCCACTCGCTTTCCTCTGACAGCCGAACCCTAGCCGGATTGTGCAGAGTACAAAGAAGGTAGGGTTTAGGGTTGCGGGACTGGATGTGGGCATCTAGATCAGCAAAGCGAGCAGAAAAACACAAACACTCTGCAGAACATGAGATCATATCCTGGAACCCTTAAAAGAGACCCCATAGAACCCTTTCAAGAAGCCTGAATGGAACCCGTAAAGGAACCCTAGTCTAATTCTCACAATGCTCCTGTAGTGTGGTTCCAGTCTGGCGGCTTCGAGTTCTCCTAGGGAGCTCGCCAGTCCTTACCTGCTTGACGCAACACCGACACCTGCTTGACGATTTTGTAGTGGATGTGTGGGACATTGTTCACAAAAAGGAGCCGATAGCACGTCCCGAAGAATGGGAGGAGATACGACCCGGTCTTGTAGACCTGAGAGTTTCAGCACAAAAAGGAACCTTCCAGTATGGACCCCAAGAGTGAAGGTACCCCATGCCCCCCGTGCCCAATTTTGCCCAAAACCCACCTTGAGGGACAGCCAGCAAGGGATGCTCTCGCCCGGGCGAGTTACGGCATAATCCTGGCTACCTTCTACCGGCTTTACGCCCATGTTCGGAGTCAACGTCACCTGACAGGGTTTAGGGTTTCGACGTTTAGGGTTTAGGGTTTTAATCCCCACCCGTTTAGGGTTTAGGGTTTAGGGTTTAGGGTTTAGGGTTGTTTCTACCATTTGGTCCTTCAGGCACCTTGCTGAAGTCATTGAAGCCTAAAGTTCCACTCGGGGCTTTTCGCACACATTCCGCCATAACAGCCTGCTTCTCCATGGATGCTTTGGCAGCTGTTGGCTCGTCGAAGCACTCATACTCTGCAGTGATCGTCACTTGAGCAAATGGATAGTCATCATAACCTGGCAGCAGGGTTGGGCGAAATTGTCTTCAAATGGCTAAACGATACCCGTTGGACACGGGCCGAAGGGTTAAGCCACAAATTTATCTGGATAAAATCCTTGTGAACCAACCTTTCCGAGGATAAATTTTGATTTGTAGACATTAGGCTTGAGCCTCTCCGGGGGAGGCAAAAACGGACCTAAAGCATATTGAGACAGGCAAGGCCCCAGCGGATTAAATCCTCAGGCCCGACCCTTGTGCAGGACAGAGACAGACGGGGGAACATTACTCTGGATAAAATCCTGGGGCCTGACCCTGACAACAAACTGTGGATACACCTTCCATGACCGACCCAAGCAAGCATAATATGCACCCATGTTCCTGGGAGAAAATCCTAGGATCCGACAAGACACAGGCCTGATAAAAACCTCAGATCGGGATAACATCGGCGGCTTAACCCCCCCAATTGCGGCCAAGCATAACCAACCCCTAAACGGTAAAGTTCCGTCAGCTCAGCATGTATCACAGCATTAAGCTGTGTAAGCGTCGTTTCAGGACGAAATAGCATAAAGCATCAAATGTTTAAAAAGCACACTCCAAACAGCAACTACCAAAGACGACGGACGACGGACGACGGACGACGGCCGACGGACGACGGACGACGGACGACGGACGACGGGCGACGGGCGACGGGCGACCGGCGACCGGCGACCGGCGACCGGGGACCGGGGACCGTGGACCGGGGACCGGCGACCGGCGACCGCGACGGCGGCGACGACGACGACAACGACGACGACGACCACGACGACAACGACGACAACGACAGCAACGACGACCACAACAACGACCACAACGACCCACGACCAACGACAAACAACCAACAACCAACAACCAACAGGCAACAACCAACAGCCACAGCCAACAGCCAACAAGAACAGCCAACAAGAAACAAGACCAACAGCCAACAAGAACCAAGAAGAAGAACCAACAAGACGAACAACATGAAGAACCAAGAAGACGAAGAACAAAAAGAACAACGAGACGAACAACGAGAAGCACAACAAGAATAACAACAAGCAGAGCAACGAGAAGAACAACAAGAAGAACAAACAAGAAGAACAACAAGAAGAACAACAAGAAGAACAGCAAGAAGAGCAAGAAGAAGAAGAAGAAGAAGAACAACAACAACAACAGAGGCAACAACAGCAGCAACCACAGTAGCAGCAGCAGCAGCAGCAGCAGCAGCAACCGTGGCAGCGGCGGCAGCGACAGCGGCAGCGGCAGCGGCAGCGGCGGCAGCAGCAGCAGCAGCAGCAGCAGCAAAAACAACAACAGATACAGAGACAGCTGTTGAAAAAGCAACAGCAGCAGCAACAGCAACAGCAACAGCAACAGCAGCAGCAGCAGCAGCAGCAGCAGCAGCAGCAGCAGCAGCAGCAGCAGCAGCAACAGCAACAGCAACAGCCACAGCCACAGCCACAACCACAACCACAACCGCAACCACAACCACGACCACGACAACAAACAAAAGACGACGCAGACAACAGCAACGACAGGGACAACTACCACCGAAAGCCTAACGCACACAACAAAACAACAAACAACAAACCACTGCCAAAACCACCAACCAACCGACAAACCAACCAACCAAAAAACAAAAAAAAACAACCAAAACAACCAAAACCAACCAAAAACAACCAAAACCAACCAAAAACAACCAAAACCAACCAAAACCAACCAAAACCAACCAAAACCAACCAAAACCAACCAAAACCAACCAACACCAACCAAAAACAACCAAAACCTACCAAAACCTACCAAAACCAACCAAAACCAACCAAAACCAACCAAAACCAACCAAAACCAACCAAAAACCAACCAAAACCAACCAAAACCAACCAAAACCAACCAAAACCAACCAACACCAACCAACAACAACCAAAAACAACCAAAAAAAAAAACAACCAACCAAAACCAACCGAAACCTACCAAAACCAACCAAAACCAACCAAAACCAACCAAAACCAACCAAACCCAACCAAAACCAACCAAAATCAACCAAAACCAACCAAAACCAACCAAAACCAACCAAAACCAACCAAAACCAACCAAAACCAACCAAAACCAACCAAAACCAACCAAAACCAACCAAAACCAACCAAAACCAACCAAAAACAACCAAAAACAACCAAAACCAACCAAAAACAACCAAAAACAACCAAAACCAACCACCCAAAACAACAAAGACCAACCAAAACCAACCACCCAAAACAACAAAGACCAACCAAAACCAACCACCCAACCAACCAAAACCAACCAACCAAAACCAACCAAACAAACAACCAGCCAGCCAGCCAATCACCGCCACTAACAGTAACGGCAACGGCAACAGCAAGACAAGGACTCTCATCCAACAGGGGGCCGTGCAAGTCTAGATACCTAGCCATAAGAGGCTTGTGTCCGGCTCCTCTCTTGGGGAGGGATAATGCTCTCCACAAACGTGAAAGGTGCTTGGTCCGTCCCTGCCTGATACCGGGCCTGACACATCTCGCCAGCTTGCGAAGGCGAAGACTTGCGACTCCCTTTGCTTGTTCAGAACTTGATTATTAAGCCTATGGCCGCCACCCACAAACTTTGCTCCCTTTTTCGTGCCCACTGCGATGTGCTCGATTCTCGGCGCGGCACTATGCAACTGATCGAAAAGTTGTTCGAAGTCGGGATGTTCCAAGTCGTCCTCTATGGCCTCCAAGCCAACATTGACTGGGTCATCTTGATCGATCAGGAAATATTGAATGGCGACATGGACCACGAAGATGGCGACAAGCTGCAGAAGGACGCTCTTCCACTTGTCTGGATCTTGACGACAAACTGCAATGATGAAACTGAGGACCAGAAACTCTTCAAAAGCTAGCACGATAAAGCCGCAGCCCAAACTGGAGGTCGAACGCTTGCTTTCTTGGCCGCTCTCTGACAGAGGTGCCTCTGCATCTGACTCCGAGCTACTCATGGCGCCAGGTGATGTGCCTACACACAGGAGTGCGAAGAACTCCTAGCGTGCCCTCGCTGCCGAGCCAGTGAAGCTGCGGCGACGTTGGATCGACTCTGGGTTCTTGCTAGGGCATTCTAAATTCGAGTTCCCAAATTACGGAAACCTTATTACTCACTATAAAACTCTATGATGGCAACTTCAGTGAAATTCCTCAACAGACTGCAAACCTGCGAATCACACGTTGGACCTGCACAGCAGAGCGAAAATCCTGGATCGTAGCACCTTCTTTTGGTTTTCTTCTTTCTATGGGATGCTATCCATAACAGACGTATGTCTCAAACATGTCCTACAACAAACCCTGTTGTCGCCCTGGGCTCTGTCTTCTCTCTCTCTCTCTCTCTCCCTCTCTGTCTCTAGCTACAGTAATCCCCAAAGCCCAAAACCCAAACTCGAAACCCGAAACCCTGCACCCAAACTTCTATACCCAAAACCCTAAACCCCACATGTAAACCCTTAAGACCGGACCTCGAGTGCAAGGTTGCAAGAGGTGTGGTCAGAAGCGGAACCGTAAGATGCAGAGCAGAAGACTCTATAAGGATACCCCAACAAAAGGAACCACGAAGGAGACCGTAGGGAGCGTCTAGCGTTTAGGCCTTAGGGGTGCTTTGGGGTATAGATGGACCATGCTCGTGAGGACTCTGCAGCATGAACTCCACGAGTTGACTTGGTAATCAGAACAGGGTTTCTGGGTCTATTTTCGTATACATTGCAACTATGTAGGAACTACAAGGAAATGTGATTACTATTATGATTATTCTCATTATTCTCATTCTTATTGTATTCCGACCCCCGCAGTATAAAGCATTGAGACTTCCTCGATTTGAGGAGAGCTGGAACAGCCTGATCCTGATGTCATTGAGGTAGAGTCATGAGGAATCCGTCCTTCATCCATTGGCCGACTGTCTGGAGTTCCGCTGTACGGTTTAGGGTTGAGGTTGATGGCAAGATGTGGGGTTTCGATTCTTCCCTTCTCGATCCTTCAGTCCAGGCCAAACCTTCCAGTCGCTCAGGGACAAGTAAAGCTGTAGTCTGAACCTTACGGTACTAAATGCATCTGATGATGGCCTGCATTACCTTGAGGGTAGCATATGCCAGGCTCCCAGCTCAGAGGAGCCCAACACGAAGAGCTCAGTGTTGGGAACAGCCTCCACCTCCTAGGGCCATCTTTGATTCTCATGCGCTCTGTCAGAGGTGAGTCCATGAGAGTGCATGAGGGCGGGTCTTCCATGGCCTCGTCCTCCTCTTCCCGCTCTTCCCTGGCCTGCTTTGGAGCCATCTCTTCCTCCATCGCTGCCAGCACCTGCGTTTCGACAATCTGCCGAATCAGGATGCGACCCTGCACGGCTGAAATCAGCCGCGCCTTCTGGGCAGCTGCCTTTCTGGCATCGGCCGGCTTTGCAGCCTTCTCGGCCTTCTCGGCCTTCTCGGCCTTCTGGGCCTTCTGGGCCTTCTCGGCCTTGCCCTGCAGCTTGAGACGCGAAACATGGGTAAGATATGGCTTTTGAAGCGCGCGCTCTCTCTTTTCTTGCAGAGCGTTCTCTGGTGTCACTTTTGGCTGGGGCTGGCGCGGCCTTGTCAGGGTCGGGCTTTCTTCGGCGATGTCTGGGCCTTCGCACACAAAGCCCCAGGAATCCTTCGGAAAATCATCTTTGGGGGGCCCTATGGAAGTCTCACACCAAAGTGGGCTCGTCAAACTTGTTTAGAAGCGCGCCGGTGGGAGCGACTGCGGGACACTTGGCCACGCCTCGAATCCGGCCAATGGAAGATGACCAACATGTATCAAGAATTGGATTTCTAATGGCTTGACTTGCGACTTGCATCGCTATAGAAGGCTTCAACACAACCTTCCCTTCCTTGAGTCCCGCACTCGCGGCTGTCCCTGTCCCATCCTGAGCGCCGCCTGCGCCGGCGATGCCGCCCTTCGCGCTCACCGTGACCTGCATCCGATGTACGCCAAGCCTTTGCTGTGGAAGCTGCGATACTTGCAAATGGAATTGGCCGCTACATTCCGCTACATCATGCTTTGCAAAGTGAACCCAATTCAGAGCGATGCCATGCGATGCCTCTGTCATCTTCGCGCAGCTCGCGCGGGCGCTTCTCCGGTTCCTCATGAGCCCGGGCAGATTCCGTCATGGCTGCATGGGGTGAGGGTGAGAACAAGGAGCTGCCTTGGGAGGCTCCTTGGCAGCGAGTGGGCAGGATCGCCTCAGCGGTTGCCCAGATAGGTTTCTGGCGCTTGCGGCTTGCGCGCATCTGGCAGTGTCCGAGCGCAGTGGTGAGCAGATGGTCAAAGCAGCCAGGTCTGCGGCTCGCCGCGTCCTTCCCACACAATGGGCTCCTCCTCGCAGGGCTTTCGACATACATTCCAACCCCCTTTCCGCCTTTTGCCCTAATCCGAAGGCTCCTCCTCCTTAGGCTTCTCATTTGCTGCGTCAATGAGCTCTTGGGGAATCTCCCTGCATGTGCAAGCATCCCCGTGGGAGCCCAATTTTTCAGCCCCGTGTCGAGCAGATCGGGGCGCACTCCCCGGCAATTTGCGCAGCTGCCAAGCGGGCCTGCCCAAAGCAAACGCTTCGAAGCCCTTGTCAGATGCACGACATAGAACAGGATCATGATATAACAATAAAGTAATCTATGAAATAACCGAATAAAACGACAATATAGAAATTAATATAGTGTAGTATGCCAACATAGGAACAATTTCGGGACTAGGTGCACCAAGTTGGGCTTGGGGTGTTTTGTTCTCCTTGGCCTACGTACCCGAAATAGCTTCTCGCAGCATACAGTCGTGTAGACATGTCGCGCTGCCTTTGCCAGCTTCGGGTTCAAGTGGCACCTCGATGCAAAAGTTCTTGTGCAGAGACACACAGGTTTAAGCAACCCTAAACCCTAAACCCTAAACCCTGAACCCTAAACCCTAAACCCTAAACCCTAAACCCCATAAGCCCTAACCCTTTTCCGGCAGGCGAGCCCGGCAAGAGAAGAGTTCAGGGAGCGCCTCTGATGGCCCCCAAATCATATAACACTGTCTAACATGCAAGGCACCCGCACTCTCATGCCCATTCTGTGGGTTGAGGTCAAAGGGCCACAGGTGACTTTGAATTATTGGAATCGGCTGCCCTTTGGCAGATGTTCCAGCCCCTGGCTCGGCTTTGGGTCCAGGATGGTCCAAGTGCTTGTTGACTTTAGGACCGTAGCTGCTGGGCATTTGCATATCAAGGTGCAAAGAATAAGCAAAGGAAGTGGGGTGTTCTCTTAGCTACCGTGCAGTACCCTGGGTCTTCTTGGCTACGCTCTCTGGGCATGAAAACTTGGGATGTGCCATGGCTGGTCATGTCAACATGCGCGGTCGGCGGCTCGAAAGCTCGCGAGCCGGGGTCTTCCCCAATCCGATGACCTTCCAACAACGTTCGAATTCAGGAGACAGGGTGCAAGGTGCGGGATGAAAAGCACAAGTTTTGGTAATCAACCAAAAACGATGCGAGGCCAGAAGCCAAGAAAAACCGAGGCCCCTGCCTCAGTCGATAAAAATGTCGGGCAAGGGCTCAAAGCCGCCGCAGGCGACAGGCAGCCCAATTGGCACGGATGGACTCAAGGCAAAGCTACAGCTGTCGACGATGGCATTGGGGTTCCCACCTGATCAAAACAGGCGTTTCGAGAAACATGCATGGTCTTGCTGTGCCTTGCTATGCCTAGTTGCGAGGCCTCGGGCACCATTCAGATTTTGGACAGCGCACAGAACACTTCCGGAGCAGATGACTCAGCGCGCTCCATAACTGCAGTCTCGAGGCATAGGTCCCGCACTTGACGCAGCAACGATCTGTGCACGCGATCGCAGTGAATGCCCTTGTTGTCGACCTTTCGGAAGACTCCTGCCAAAGAGGGCAAGCTCACAAAGCTCACCCGCAGGGGGTGCAGCTGCTCAACGAGGCAACAATGACAAAATGCCACGCATCCTCGACCAGGCTGCGGTAACACGTAATCCTCAATTGCCAAGCACAAGAGCTTTTGTTGAACACAAGAGGCAGCATCTCTTCAAGCAACCCCATGCTGGGGCCAAGGTACGGGATCCAAGAAGGTATGCTTCAGGACCACCTCTTCGCGCGCAGTGACAATGCCGATAGTTCGCTTCCGTGGGTGCTTATAAGGCTACTCTTCAGGCTTGAGCTCCCACGGAGGTGAATGTAGGTACTGCTACAAAGCATATCCTAACAAACGGTAGCTGCAAGGGAGCTTGAAATTTAGAACAACCCCCCGTCTGTCAGGAGTTGAAGATGCCACTGAGCTTTTCGGTCATTCCAGAAAAGATCGGACTCATTGGCAGGATCCTACCTTGCAAGCGCCTCTGGAACCTGTCCAGGGAACGGTCCGCCGTTCAGTGTTGGGATGTGTTGGGATGTGTTGGGCTAAGGTGTCAAAACACGTTCGAGGGCCTTCTCCTGTGCATCGAGCAGGACGAGACGCTTGGAAGCTCGCGGGTCGCATTGCATGGCGACCTAGCGTGGGACCCGTGGCAGCTCGACCGGCAGCTCAACAACACTTTTTGGGCAGCGGGCCTGCATGCTGCTCCATGCATACTCCTGCCAGATGCACACCTACTCGGCATCTCGGTGCTTCATGTGCTTCTCTCGGACACACATCATGCTACCAACAGTACCTGACCACACTTTGCTTCACTGTCTCCTCGGGAGTCATGTTCAGGTTGAGCGTCGCTCTCCGCTGTAGCTTTGGGAGTGCCCAAAGGCGACTCTCCACACCGAGGCCATGTCGTATTCGCCCCAGCTTGCCTGCGAAAACCATTGGATACAAAGCCATAATCCGCCAAGGGGGTCGGGCCGCAGGCGTCTGGGTTCCATGAAGCAGCCAGCAGGCGCTCCCCACCTCTAATCCCCCTCCCCAAGATGTTGTTTCCCCCACCCCGGCCCGATATGACCCGATCTCGGGCTTGGGTTGCCTTGCCGCTGGGCAGGCTCAGGCCGAGGCGGGTCGCGCAGCGTTAAGAGCTTTAAGAGCCGTTAACATTCAACCCATTGGGATCTCAGCAGGGCTACCGCCCATGTCTAACATAAGCCAGGCCACGAATGAAGTCCTGAGCAGGGGTGCTCAGTCGACACACTCCAACATCACGCTCTGGGGTAAGCAGTATGTGCCGCCCAAGTGCTGCAACCAGTGTTCGAGGCAGTTGGACCCTTTCCTTCTGCGCTTCGCCATCCTGAAGTGGCGTTGGAACCACGTGCGCCACAAGCACCTCCTCTGCTCTTCAAACTGAAGATGTACTTAGCATTCTGACGGGTGTCCAGACTGTTTCCGTAGACTGTGTAGCTGCAGGTTGCCATCTCGCCACGTTCAAACTCGATCACGAATTCAGGCTCAACAGGTCCTCGGCAAGATCTGCCCTATGCCGGATGACTCAGCCGACGCCTCGACAGTTCTAGACATCGCGGCGAATGCGGCGATTGATGCTGAGGCATTCTCGATGCTTGCTGACGAAGTCGTCTGCAGTGATCATCACGACCAGAGGCCATTTAGGCATGCCTCCCATGCGCCCCACCCTCAGCTCCGAGAGCAAAGACCTAACAGACTATAGTAGCAGACAGCTTAGTAGGGTTCGGGCAGCACACACAGAAGCACCAGAGTCACTACAGCTGCTGTCGCCGTGGCACCGCTCCAGCGCACTGCAAAAGCTTCGGCTCACGGTTCGCAAGGCCATCATCGGAGCGCCTTCATGGCAGAGCTGCATTAAGGCCTCGGAAGGGGGAAGATGACTCAGAAGTATTCTAGGCTCACTGCTTTTTTGAGACTGTCCCAAAAACGCCAAACCCCACACCCCAAACTCGAAGAGAAGGCAAAACACAACTCCGACTCAAAGTGCAACCTCTGGCCTCCAAGGCCGGCCCAGCCACCACATCTGGCGCCGGGCTGTGTGACCTGCAGCATTCAATGGTTCGGTCACGTTTCGGTGGAGGGGCGGGCCGGCCTAAGACTGCATCGATGTATAGTTCGTAGCTTTAGCGCAAAAAAGTCTCGGGGGCCGGCAAATCATGACCGCGCAGAGCCGCGTTGACCTGCCGAGTGAGAAGCAGATGGCACATGAAAAGCGGAGAGTCCTTTGTATATTGCGTATGATTTGTCACGCAGCCATACATTATACATTATTACACCTTCTAACCTTCTTCTCATCAGCAGCCTGGCTCCCGCTTGAGCCCAACGAGCTCGGGAGCTGCATGGCAGGGGGCATCATTGGCTACTGGCTTGTGCAGCTAGCGGCAGCGAAGACAAGGGGCTGACCAATGCCAGCTTGGCAGAAGAGTGCGCCAAGGGTTCAGAGTGCCAACCGCGCAAGAAGCCAGGGCTCGGGCTGGTATGCCAGGACGACCTCAGGCTGCAAGAGTTAGGCCATGGCCACAAAATAAATGTCTTGGCAAATCTCTGAGAAGGCAGCCTTCATTGTTGTGGTGTCAAAGGCGGGCTGGTTGAACTGAACGCCTCGGACATGGCACCATGGCACTGGCGGCCAGAACTTGGCGAAATGATGGATGTTTGCCCTGCCAAGGAGGTGGCTCTGCTCTGCAAAGGACGTCGTATCAACCATGGTTTTGGCCTGACATGGGCAACAACACGCATGGCAGGAGCTACTGCGATGTTCACCCATCAGAGGAATGCCCTTCCTTCACCTTCCATTTGCTACAGTCTTCTCAAAGACACCAGAGGCAAGAAGCTGTTGTTCGAGGCGGAAGGTTTAGATTTCGGTGCCCGTCTTCGAACCTGCTTCTGCAAACTTGGCGAAGGGCCTCGGTAAAGGCTAGGACGCGCTCCTCGACGAGGAATTTCTCCCTCAGCGACAGAAGAACGACCGTTTGCCTCTTGACTCAGCGAAAAACAACACGCCACAGATTCATCTAGAAGGGTGCATCTGGGTGGAAACTTCCTGTCTAGACAGCGACTTGTCCAAAACTCTCACTTCACAACTTCCGACAAGAGCAGCGCGTCCGCTTCACCACCTGGGCAGAACCTGAACGGCGCTTGGAGGCCGGGCCACACATTCGACAAAAGGCACACCAAAGGCACACAACATGCAGAGCCAAGAGAAAGGACTTTTTTCGGTTCCAACGAAAGATGGCGTTTGGTCCGTTTGGAGGCTGTACTCTGAGACGCTCTGCTTCTCCAGGAAGTCTGCGAGATCGTGGTACGGCAGGGGCCAGCGCAATGCATCTGCACAGCTTCGTGCATGGTGCACATCCACGAAGTTCCGCGATACGGCAATGCAATCCTGTAAGTTTGTAACCATGTGAGGCACACCACCCGGAACCAGGATCATCTCACCGGCCTCAACTTCGACATCCACGCGCCAAGTTTCAGGCAGCGTTTCAGGGAAGATCTGATCATGACGAATCTGGTGCCGGAAATGCTCTGAGTCGCAGCCGGGCCGTACTTCCAGTTGCAGCTTGTCCCTTCTCTTCAAGAGCTTGAACTGGTCGGCGACATGCAGCGGCCAGAAGGACCATCGCTTCCGGCCCCCTAGAACAAGCTGAATAAATTGACTCTCTGCGCCGTCCACATGGACGCCACACTGGGAACCCCTCGGCTGCACAAACAAGCTGGGGTGGTCCCAGAAGGGGTCCTGACCACGCTCACCTGCAAATGGGGACTGCCCTATCAAATCACAAGACTCCAGAAAACTGGGCCAGCGTATCCTTGACGCCAGCTCTGGGCAGGCGGTTTCCAAAGGGTGGTCAAAGAGAACCTGCTGTCCACCCTCTGTCCAGCCTCGCACCACTGCTCCCAAACTTCGGTCTCCGATGTCTTTCACTTGTGCCATCTTGGCCCACACCTCATGGCCCGGGCCGTACTCCATCAGCTGCAACTGTCGGCCTTGGCATAGGTCGACCAGCTGTTGGGCATCGAGGAGAGGAAGCGTACCTTCTGGGCACTTGGCCACGACAGGCCGCCGGGAGATGGAATATTGCTCGAAAAGGTCATCAGGTAAGCAACTCAATCGGTCCACCTTGGCGAACATTAGAGAAGCCTCTGCCTCAGCTGTTGTTGGCGGACATGAGCGCGTCCCTTCAGCTCGTCTGCCTTGCATCTCGAAGATGCGCGGCTCAGGCGATTCCTTCCCGAAGCGTCTTCTCTTGCAGGGAAGTGGGTTCTGCATATTTGGCTCCTCGGCTGCATCCGGGTATTGCAACAGAATCTGCTTGACCGCGGCTAAAAATCGGCCGGCTGCATGGGGCAGCTGACTTCGCTGAGCAAGCGCTAGGGCACGCTGGGCACACTGCAATGCCTTTGCTGGATTTGGACATGGCAGGCACTCTAGATGGCGAATCACCAGCTGGTCCATGGCTTCGACAAGCCTTTCAGTTGCAACACTTGCCGCTGGGCGCGCCGCGGCGTTCGCTACATTGCGATTGCTCGTGGCTTCGAGGCTGGGGGCCACGGGGGAACACATGGGCTCCAGCTCCAGGCTTAAATCCACCAGGTCCTCCAGCGCAGCTCGCGCGGCCCGCCTCAAAGCCTGGGACTCTTGGACATAGCAGCTCTCCAGGCAGTTTGTAGCGGAGAAGCCCAGGAGGTCAGCCACATCTTGGGCCTCTGCCATGCCTTCGGCTACATCCTTCTTCGGCGCTGTCCTGCCCGCGACAGCCTTGAGAATGGGATGCACTTTCAGCAAGTTGCTGTCACCTAGCAGCGACGAAACAGTGCTCGCCAGCCGAGGCATGCTCAGGCGACTACAGGCACTCGCCATAGCTCACTTCAGGGATGAAAAAACACAACACTTGCGAGCCGAAATCAAGGGTACTAGTTCTGAGCTTCTGAGCCAAAACGGCGAGGCATCATACACACCGTGAACATGCCAAGGTCGCATGCTGTGGAGCCTCTTTCCTTGAACTCAACGAGCGCGAAGGGCTGACCGTCACTGTCCTGAGCACGTGCGGATTAGCTGGGCCGATCCCTTCATGAAAGAAGTGCCGCCGCCTTGTCCAGTCGAAGCGCCTCTAGCTCACCAAACTGCTTGCATATCAACCTGGCTTTGGTTTCACTTGCAGATCCTTTCCAGGTATATTGACAAAGCTTCTTGTGATAAAGGAGGGTTCAGAGGAAAGGAAAGCTCAGGGTGGACATGGGGGACTGAAGTCGTGGCTTTGTGTCATTGGTCTGTCCTTCCTGTGCGGCCTGTGTTGCGCAAGTCTAGCATGGAAAGGGGGAACGTCGAGGGGCCACGATTCAGCGAGCAATTGCCACCATGCAGCCTGCGGTCAATGGCTCGATTTCCATGAAAGCGTTCGAAGCATTCACGGGCATTGCTTGGTGAAACGATGTTGTCGAGACTTGAACAGCGATGAGAGTCCCTGGTGGTAGAAGCGGTTCAGCGTGAGGTACTATGGCCAACATCGGGTGATAGGTGCTGCGAAGTACTGCGGGGACTCAGCCAACAGGATGTTAGCTTGCGGCACTCTCTCGACATGAGGCACACGTCCATCCACTTCGTGGTGTCGTGCCGATTGAGAGCACATGCCATTTCTCACCTAACCCTATGCAGACTTCAACGACCACTCACAACTGCAAAGATCGTGCGTGGTGCCAGTCTGCAGATCTCACACTCTGGCCGCATTGCGCCACTGAGCACCGGTGAAGGCTCTGGTCCTGCAAGGTGAACGCACTCACCCGACATGCTCGCCCACCTTCCGAGCACTCTCTCAACGGAATCTGGAAGATTGCTTCCTCATCCCATGCGCAAAGCGTTGGATGTTCGGCATGCCCGACCAGAGGGCATGGCACTGCCTGAAAGGCCATGCATGAGTGCCATCAATCACATCCTGCACGAACATCAACTGTCAAGCTCCAGTGGCCAATGAAAAAGAAGTCAAAGAAATCATGCATAGTGTCCACACATGTGGCAACAGACAATGAAAGAGATGCACTGCCACTTCAAGACAGAACCCGCCCCAGCTAGGCTTCGCAGGCGCGACACCTGCAAATGGCACTCCAGAGTCCTCAAGTCAAGACCGCATTGGGTTCCATGCACCATGAGGAGGACAAACTGCACACGGGCTGTTCACAACGAAGTCCTTGTTTTTGAGCAAGGGGGCACCCCAGGAAGGCTCTTGGAACCTCCAGAATTACGGGCCATCTGCTGCGCCCAGAACTTGAAAGGTGATCTACTTACTGTTGGTTAGTGGGGAATGAGGGAGTGAGACACCCTATATCCCCCTATATATACCCTCCTAGGGATTCTAAAAGGGTACCTGATTCAATCCCCCTGCTAACCAACAGTAGGTCTAGGGAGACCGCTGAATCCCAAGGAGTGCCTCACACTGCCCTCGCCCAACGGACTGGCATCTATGTCCGCATTGCTTCCTCGATCTCCCTCGCTTTCCTGCACAAGACGTTAACGTCTGGGTTTAGAGTTTGAGGGCTTGCATGAGGGGCTTAGGAGTCTGTATGAGGCCTGAGATAATATGGGTTCGGACGTCGTTCCAAAGACCATTGCCACAACTTTGCCTCTTCATGCTTTTCCTTTCTTTCATAGGGTTTGGGGGCGACGCTCTCTCCCCCCACCCATGTCTTCTCTCCCTCTCTTGATGAAGGCACGAGGGTGCTGTCAGAACAGCTTCAAAAATCCATGCTGCTGCCAACCCTGCCGTCGGATGCAGAAGTCTGTTGCTCGAGCTACAAGCACTACTAATGAATATGTGCTTCAATGCGACTGACTGTGACTATGACGGGCTGAAGCCACAGGAGACCGCCTCAGGCGCAGCATGCTGGTCTGCAAAGCGCTGTAAGTCCATCTGCTTCAGGTGGCCTTACTTCTGTTGCTTCTTATGAGCGAATATGAGCCAGGGTTTAGCTAGCTCCTGCAAGCAGACCGACGATGGCCGAGCAAAACTTGTTACTCGATCTGCGTGCCGACCGTATCTAATCCGCCTACCCACGGGTTAAGGCGAGATGCAGTTGTTGAAGAGCATGTACTTGGGGAAGTTCACCTCGGACGAATCATGTGATGCTCTGCAAGACTCCCAGCAGTTGCCCAACTGCGCAAAGCATGTTGACCGAAGTCTGGCACCTACAGTAGTTGTAGCATGTTCCTCCCCTCCCCTTCCCCCTCTCCCATTCCAGCATCCCTGGTTCAACCTTCACTTACATACCCACATGCTCGTGCTTCATGACACGCATCAACATGCATGCGGACAATCGCAGTCCTGAGATGCCCACCAATCCGCCAGTCCAAACTGGTTTGGGCCGGACACCAGCTTGGCACATTGTGCGTGTCTGCGCCAAAGACTCCTGGAGCTCCTCGAGATTTTTCCCCAAGGGAACCAAGGGCACAAGAGGGCGCACAAGAGACCCTTCGAGTGATGCACTGAGCGATACCAACTTCCCGACACTCGCGCAGACGGGGCCTTGTTCACCTCGCCCTTCTCGGTGACCTTCATAGGGGGGAGGTATCAAAGGGAGAAGTGGCTGAGAGCCAGGCTTGCGACAGTAAGAGCCCAACATCAGCAAGCTTTTTCCATCGGTTGAGCTCTGTTGTCAGCGGGTGGCATGCCTAGTCGAGACTCTGCACCCCTAGGCGGCCGCAAGGTCGCTGGATGGCATCCGAGCCTGCATGACTTCGGCGGCCGACTGCCGCAGGGCCGGGGAGGAGTGCGAGTGGCGGATGGAGGCGAGCTTTTGGTGCGCACCATCCTGCCGCCAGCACGCACACTTATTGCAACTGCCTTCTGCCAACTCTACACTCCAGACTCTAAACTCCAGACTCTAACCTCCAGACTCTAACCTCCAGCTTGGTAGACTATGGCTTGCCCTGCCGGTCCCAGTAGGCGCCGACTTTCGCCTGTTTGGACTCCAGCTGCGCCATCGGCCCCTGGCACCCGCAGAGCACCAGGCGTTCAAAGGCACCGGAACAGGCACTCTGAGACAGCACTGGATAGCGCAGGCACTGCAATCTACCACCTCGTTCATACCTCGCAGGAACACAGGAAAACCTTCGTAGATGCCCGCTACTTGGAGGTAGCAGTTACAGCTAAGGTGTGGCCTTTTGGAGCAGCGAAAACCCTACTACGACCTAAACATGAACCTCCAAAAGGGGCGCCTGAGGTTCCTGGTCCGAAGGCTTCCATGGAGCCGTTGCGCCCTCTCAGGAGGTCACTTTTAGGTCCCTTTTCTGTGAGGAATCGTCTGGAAGGCCGGTAAGAGGAGCGTGGAGCAATCCCCACGCGCTTGCTTGCTTAGATTCTACTAACCACACTGACGGGGACTTCGATGGAGAGCTGGTCTTGCTATCATGCAGGTACCCGCCTGGAAGGGCACATCTGGACCCCTGCGGGTGGACTGTCGGGAGTTCGTGAAGAGGCAAAGCTGACTTCGTAAACTCGTAAACCAGCTTCCAGGCTGCCTCACCGGACCTCTGGTCAGAGGGTGGTTCCCAAAGCGATAGCCCCCACTGCTGGGGGCTAAGCCATAGTGTTCGGCCACCACCGCCTGAAGAACTCTGCAACAACAAACCCTGCGTTCGAAACACGGACGCTCTTCGAGCCTGATCTTTGATTCGCATCTCCGTGCGCATGCGTGCCTGACCCGAGGACCAAAAGGTGGTTGCGAAGCATGGCCCCCCGTCTTCCCACATGTTGCTATAATTGCTCAACAGGCAAGCTTTCACATTCCACATGCTCAGCAGAGGCCTTCTCATGGTCCAGCAGTAGGGTGTGGGGCTTGCGACTGGAGATCGGAACGAATGGCATCCTGGGAGCCCACGGAGGCCTTGGCACAACCCCCTTGGGAAGGGGTGCAGAACACAGAAAAAGAGAATTATAGAGAACTTCCCCCCACCCTCCCCACATCCTCCCACTCTCCCTCCCCCCCCCCAACTCTTGGGATTCTCGCTTCTCCGGGGGCTCCGCCGTCAGCAGCTTTGAGCCAGAAACGCACAATGGGTTTCCAGAGACATGCTGCGGAGGTTGGGCACAACAAGCAGGCTGGCGCTACTTACGACTTGCTACTTACGAGGACTCACATGAGCTGCAGGGCGATGGCCCGCCAACACTCCAGCATCCAAACTTGCCAGGCTGCCTCACTTCCTCCTCCGTAACCTGGCAGAACCCTCCCACCTCCCCTCCTGCTCTCTGCTCATAGCTTCAAATCCCCGACGCACAGATTGTGGTTTTTTTTCAAGATCCTCTAAAGACTTCTCGTTTCACGAATGGATGATTAAATAACCCGGAGTCCCTGTACCCAGCACTACCCTCAGGCAGTACTTCCAGCCACCTCCGGAGCCAGGCCCGCGATGTGAACCTGACTCTGTCGGGGCGCACGCTTAGCGCGGCGCCGGGGAGCTTTTACGTCTTGTGGAAGCTGGGGGGGCTGAAAGGTTGCTGCTGATCACGGTGGCATTTCTGAGCCGATTTCATCTTCTGAAGACGTGACGCTACTCTAACCCCTGTCTTGTAGAGACGTGCTGAAGTCGCTTTCCTCAGGGCTGCACTGTTCGGAGCCTCTTGTCTTCCTCTGCTTCCTTGAACTTCCTGGGCAAATCAGTCGACTCGACTAGCGGACATCATCACGCAAGCCGGAGCACCAGCCAGCTTGATGCACCTTCCCTAAAAACGCTACGTAGGGACGATGATGCGGAACCGAACTCCATCAGAACCAGCCAGGTGAAGATCCAGCATTCCTCCTCGACTCCATGGTCGCTACACAGTTTGCTCCTACAGCGCCACAGGCTGGCAACCGGAGTCTTCTCCGTGCCCCCAGCCTTTAAAATGAAAATTGTGACTTCACAACGGACTATCATCATGTTGCCAGGTCGCGCAGCCTGGATGCTCGACTTAAGGATATCTAGAACACACCGGATTTGAAAGGGAAAATGCACCAACCAAGCATGGGAGTCAGCGCAAGCCTCCACAACTGCATGCCAACTCCTACCTCAGGTCCCGCTCACTTCTGCATGACCCGAGTACAGAATACCACGACGATCGCACTCCTGCATGTAGCATGAGAGTCACACATCTCACTCTCTCTCCCTTTCACACACACCCACGCGCGCGCGCACGCTCCGTTTGCAAAGGCCAGCGCGAGGCTCGCAAATTGCTTTCACACGGACATCCCCGCGCCCCAAGGGCTGTCCTCCCGCTCAATTCTTGAGCGCTTGCATCGCAGGCTTGATGACATCAATCGCCTTGTTTCAGGCAGCATGGTGTGCTGCGGCCACTTCGTCAATTCTAGTCTGACGCTTTTGGTCCAGGTGCGCTCTTGGCGTACATCATCGGAACGACCACCCACACCAGATTCGATCCTGACATGCACGTCGGCGGTCTATGGTATCCGGCAGTTGTGCCATGTTGTGCTGTAGCCGAGCCACCAATGAAGGCCCACCACCAGTGGATAGACTTGGGTCCATCCGTGTGGGTCCACTTCCAACCTTTGCCTGGGGCATGTGGATCCTCAAGGTTTCGCATAACGGCAAAACGATGGCAACGGGTCGGCCTCTCATCCAGTTCATCCATCCTCGCGTGCATCTGCTCCATATGCTCCATTATATGGGCTTGCGCCGCACCCCTAGCAACAACATGTGGTCTACGTGGTAAGAGAGCAAAAGAGTCCTGGCACCAGCTCATCTGACCAGAACACGACTGTGCCGAAGGCGTGCAGTGCACTGACGACAAGCTGCACCGGATACCCTGAGATTCTTCCAAATGCTTCCAATGTTCTCAGGACATGAGACCCTTTGCCAAACAGCTCGGTTTGTTGAGCCGAGGCTCTGTACCAGGCATTGTCCAGAATTCCCTGCAGGGTATTCGGGGCCGTTAAGGAGGCTTTTTGCACCGATGCTTGCCGCAACGAATCACTTCCACATCGCTGCCTTCAGCCAAAGGCAGCAGAGCGCACCGTCGATGATTCCGGCAGGCACTTCCACTGCCAAGACGACCTGGCAAGGAACGGAAACGCTCGGAAACTTCAGAGTTCGGGCTCGCATCCATCAGCTGCAGTAGTGCAGTCTTACTTTTTGTTTAGAGCATGCCCAAGGCTTCATGTCACAAGGCAGGGGCCTTGTCGATGCTGGCCTTCGTGCCATGGTAGTCGGCTGGCGGCTTCAGTTTGTAGCCTGGGCTTATGGTTTCGGCCTCGAGAGACAGTCGTGGCCTTGTCTTTTCTAGTTCGGGTAACGCCGGTCGTAGTCGCCGTAGCTGAAGAAGGCTTGGCAGAATGGATTCCAGGATTTGAACCTTATTCCCAACAAGCACAGAATGTCACAAAGGAGCACCTAGCATCTCGTATGCTCCGGGTCCTAACCAGAAGTTCAGTTCTGCGCCCCTCCTTCCACTCAGCGTAGTCGAAGAAGTTCAGCAAGCCTGCGTCTGGCAGGTTTCTTTCAAGGCATACTTTGATCAAGCCCTCATCTTCTCTCAACAGCGGCCCATTCTGCCAGGAAGCTGATCTCCCAGCCGAAGTGAATGTAAAAATTCGCTGCCAGCCACACCTCGGACATAGAAAATCCGATTCTTTCCAGCGCAAGCCACACAGAGCTGCTGCAGCTGGGTGGCCATGTTCCATTTCTCCCAGTAAGTCAGCGTCATGGCTGGGGGCTTTCCCAAGTTCCTACTCTTGCCTGGATGCTGCGGACTGCGCGGACAACTTCTTGCTGAATACGTCTCGCTTGCGGCGGTGTGGCGAGATGGCAGTAAAGGGACCGTGACACTGCGACCCCCAGCTTGTCCCGAGCCGGCGGCCGGAAGTACTCTGCCTGAACTCCCTGGGGCTCAGTGTTGGTGGCCGCTTCCTCCTCCTGGTCCTCAGGCCTCATACGCGCGGAGGTCATCCGAACACTTGTGGCGCACACACACACACACACACACAAAGGCTACATTAAAACCGAAAATGAACACAAAGCCTTTGCCAAGGCCTTCTAAAGTTGCAGCAGAGTCCGGGCATCGCACACCGTTTCCCAAGGCCGCTGGATGTTCCACATCTCGCACCAGGAGTCGATATGGCTTATGGGGGGGTGGAGATCAATTACTGTGTGGGATTCTTTTTGGGCAGGCTGATCATAGAGAGTGGTATACAGCATAATACTAGTGTACCAACGCAGAGCCCCGAGAGCCAAAAAAAACAAAACAACGGCTCACTACTTGGTTCAGACTCGCACAGCACTCTTTTGCTATCCTGATCCTGCCCCGGATCCCCACCATCTCCCTTCTGCCTTCCGGGCCATGTCTTTGGAGCCCGGGTCCATCACGGAGATCTGCAAAGCCAAGAGGGTGAACGAGTCGGTCCAAGATTCCCAATCCCCTCCCGCCTCGATGGCTTGTCCCATCACCTCTCATGGGGGGCCATTTCCGCTAGCTGCTGTGACGGATGGCAGCTGAAACAGCCAGCCTTTGTGCCACTGAGCTGGTGTGCCTGGCATCTGGCGCTGCGAGCAGCCAGCAGTGTCAGCACAGCTCGGGAGACCCGGAAGCCTCCAAAACACCTTTGGAGGTTGCGAAGTCCACTTGCGCGAAGAACTCCGCTGTCCTCCCCCCATCTTCCCCCGAACATTGACAGCCACCACGACAAGTCGGTTCAGTGGCTTCGGGTCTCACTCTCGCAAATTCTGTGGAAGCCAGCAGATTGTCCTACCCTGGTAGGACCTGAAGAGGACCTCACAGTAGCAGTCTCTGGCTTGGCTCTCCTCTTTCACTTGCCACACTTTCCCTCCACACTCGAACATCAACAAACGCGAAAGGCCACGCACTTGGCAGTCGTGGTAAGTGCTCCGCGCGCTCGATTGCATCGCATTGCCTTCGGTTGCATCTGGACTCGAGGATCAGGCTGACACCTGCAGCGTCCTGAAGCTGAAAGCTGCCAAGTCACTCGAAAGTCTCGCGCAGAACCTGCTCACTGACCTGAGGACCTTGGCCCAGCTGCTTGTAAACATCCCTGCGAAACTAAACGACCACTTCACAAGGGACAGTGATGCACAATGCAGGTGCCCACACAATGCAACGCACAAAAGAATACGACAGCAAGACAAAGCAGTTTCCCTTTCACGGGTTGCACGCTCAAGTTCCGGATGTAGATGGAGTTTCGAGCCTCAGCTTGCTGCAACATTGAAAGCGCCACACGCCATTCTGCCTGGTGTGGTGTGTTATACTTTGCGGCCAGGTCTGACCCATCCTCACTCTTGTGACTCTTGTGGTCTTGCATACTTTTTTTGCCTCTTCCTTGAGGTCAGAACTGCGAAGGCCATGGCTGACAGAGGCCACTGAGTGGACGAGGCAGCCAAGTGAGTCTGGTGTGGCAGCCTTTGAGCTTGGTGCCAAGCGCTTCCGCGCAGTGCGGTGTGTCGGTTCTTAGGGCTGAGGGCTGAAGGGCTGAGGGCTGCCAGCAGGCACTGGCTAGTCGTTTCCTGCTGATTCACTCTGGCCGCTGTAGACTCAGGAATCTGTGCATGACGACTTCAATTCACTTGGAAAAGCAAAGGCAACATGTAAAGACACTGGCTGGAGCCGATCGGACGGAACAGGCAGCACAACCCATAAAGTGCTTGGCAGCCGGCACCACGCAACCCATAACGGGAATCCTCTTTAGCTCCCAGTCTGTAATCCAACCATCTGGAAGCGACACAGACAGTGGCAGGATCTTTTTATCTTTTTGCCGCTGTGTCACGAACCACTGTGCATCAAGAAGTAGACTGCCACAACCAGCATCACAAGCATCAACCCAGCTATCATGTAAACCATCCTCTTGTTCTGATCTGCTCGCCGGAGCATGCTGTCGAGCGTGTGGCCAGCTGCACTGTAGTTCTGACCCACTTTGCCCATGTTCTCGCGGCTGCGTTCCATGACTTCTCTCTGCTGCCGCAGATCGCCCATGACATCGATGCCGATCTGCTCCGATTCAAGAGCTGCCCGCTTGGCTTCCGTCAGCTTTCGGGAGGCATCCAACATGGACCGGTTCATGTCCTCTGCCTGGTATTCACTTGATGGCTTTCCGAGGGCTGTCGCCTCTTCAAGAAGAAGACCTCTGCTGACAGTTTCGGAAGCTTTACGACGCTCCGACAATGCCTGCCTGCATTGCTGGACCTTGGAGTGTACAGGCCCCCGTGCTTCCGGTGGCATTGCTCTTGCTTCCAGCTCCATTTGCTTGATGGCCTGTTCGGCTCTGGAGATCTGGCGCTCGGCATCTGAAAGATGCCTTGCTGCAGACTCATTCCTAGCGCGTTCCAGGCACTCATCTGCTTCCTGGCAAAGCCTTGCGAAGTCGGCTTCGTACTCTGCAAACATCTCCGACACTGTTACATGCTGCGCCATGGCCGCCACACTCTCCACTAGGAGATGCGCCTCGAAGTGAACTATCTACCGAGCAGCCGTGGAAGTGTCACCAAGTGCTTGTTGCAGCACCTCATAACCCCTATCACGATCACTTTGACGAATTGATACTGTAACAACGCTCCATGTTCTGCACAAGGCTCGGAGCCAAAGACAGGGGCCGAAACTGGGCACGGTGAGCCTTACTTTTGACTGCTACATGCCGCTGGTATCAGCTGGTGTCAACACCAAATCATGCCAGCGACTCCCGTCGCAGTAGCCCGACACTTTTTCTTGGATATGCGTGCAATCTCTGTGCAATGCCATGCTTTTCGACCCTGGTAGCCCGACGCCGGCAGCAAGCCGCTTTATTCGTCGGTGGTCGATGGGGAACATGAAGGAATGACTTTTGGCAGGCGTTGGCAAGAGAGGTACATATCACTGCATCATCACATGCTTCAGCCATTTGCTGATGTTTGGTCTGCCGGCACTAGTACATGCTTGAAGCTGCATCTCTTGAGCATGGCCAAAACTCCTGGCCTACCGGGTTACCTGTGCAGCAAATCTGCCTTAGGCAGGTGTCACGCGCAAACAGGGTGACCACTTTCCACATAGCAGCCACCATCCAGTAAAAGAGTTTTCATTAGGGAGGCACAGACTATGCAACGCAGTGTTAGCGAGTCTTCGTGCCTCAACTTCAAAGTCGTGGGCGTTGCATGAAAAACACGCTTGCCGCATACCTTGTGCAGTGGGAATCTGACGGCGTGCTTCGTCGTTTTCAGCAGGTCAGGAACTTTGCAACACGCACGCAGTGAGACCTTGCCGGCACTCCTTGTAGGAAGGATGCTGGCAGGGATCCAGCTACGCGTCGGCGCTGCCAAAATGAACATTGTAGCCAACTTTTAATCTCTCGCTAAGTCTAAGTTCTCTTCATGACTCAGACATGGGCAGGACACGGGCAGCATACAACTGCGGCAACTGCAGTTTTGCCGAATCGGCTGATTTTGGTGTCCCAGCATTGGCCAGCAGTCAAGCACCCTGTGATCAGCAGGGATGTGTGTGTGTGTGCGCGTGTCACAGAAAGTTGGACATGCATCTGATGGTGTACAGGACAGTTCCCATCCACGCCTCATAGTCCGTGGAACTTGGGACCATGGCCACACCCACAATTGCTCCTGCGCTGGGGATCGCCAAGGCATCTTGGCTACTAAGCTCACCTCTGCCGGGTTGGAGTTTGGGGTGACTGCAGGAGCTTGTTTCTCCACGGATCGCTCCCGCAACTCGCAACTACCTGGGATTCAGCAGCGATTGTGCTCACAAAATGCCAAGAGTAGCCACACCTCTACCATACACGTACTACTTTGAGCAGGAGCGCTCTGTAACACTGCATGTCGCACTCTCTTTGCATCGTGCGTTTATCATGGGTGTTGCGACATGCAGTGCACGCTGGTGGCTTTGCAAACCCGGCCCTGGTGCGCATGAAACCAACTCAAGGTCGTTTACACGACATGATGGTGCTCACTCGTAAAGTCCCACAGGGCACAGGGCCGACAAAGCCAAGTGAGACATCTCATACGGGTGCTTTTGAGCTTCAGGCTGCCATCTCTTTGATCTAGCCTGTAGCCTCCTGCAGAAGGCAGCTGAAGAAAGCCAGCATTCTGAGACGTTATGAGACGTGGGGCTGTTGTCTTCAGTTGCCCACAGACATCACTATCACAAATTACCATGCGAAGCGGACAATGCTTTGGCTGTCGCGCAAAGACAAAAAGGGGGGAAATCTGATCGCCGCGGTCGGGCGTCTGGGACTGAAAGGATGCAGGCCAGCGCAGGAGGATTCTCTCAAATGCAGTGCTTTGGGGCGTGTAGCCTGCGCCCGATATCTAAGTGAGACAGAAGCTTGAAGCTTTTGCTGTTTCTATGTTGTGGGCTCGGTCGACACCTGCCTCTTGCGCCTCTAAGACGCTGAAACCAGATAATGTATGGTTGTAAGATTGCTTGCATGTTGGACCGAACAGCAAAGCAGCGCCTAGATTCTGAGACTGTGGAAGGTGAGAGCTGATCGGTAAAGCCCGCTTGGCCTCAGGCGGGTGTAGGAAGGGCTTAGCCGGAGTGACTCTCTCTGGATGCGGAGTGGTTCGGAACTGCACACTACGCCGGCCTTCCATATGGAAGAGGCCAGACATTAACCAGAGCTCCTCGCTCTCGATTCCGGTGGTCATGCCTGCAGAATCACTGGTTTAGTGAATCTATGGTGATTCTCTGATGACGCGGCGGCACACCCGACTCCCCGCTCCTGGACAAAGCTTGCACTTTCACAAAGCACCCCGAGAAACCCTTTGGTGACATACGTTGAACTGTCGGCCTCCACGGCGGTGTAGGCGACCTGCGCACCGCGTCGGCTTCGTATGCGTCCAAGGAGGCGCACACCTTAGCCGCAGCATTAATAGCGGAAATGGGCTGAGGGTCGCCATGAAAACCCAAAGTCATGAGGTTGGCCTGAGGTTGCCCACCCGCGCTCTCAGCTCAAAACAGCTGTGGGTCACTCTAGCGATTCGGGCCCTCGACTTAAGCTTGCGTGCATTCGAGTGCAACCTTCTTCTGACGTCGTGAAGTTCCGCTTGTACAAGAAGATGGTGGAAGGGCGAAGGCTGCCCACCGAGCGACTCGGGACAGTCGCCCTGTCTGAATCATGGTGCTTCAAGATCTCTCTTGTTCACCACATATGCTTGTGAAGTTCTGCCGACAAGCCATGAGAAGGGTTGCATTCTGCAGTTCAGCGCGCCCTTCCTCAGCCAACATCTTCACCCTGCGGTCACCACTGAGGACAGCACCGAGAACTACCATGCTCAAAGAGAAGCAGCCGGCCATAAACGAACCAAAGATGTCGACAATCTCTCGAGATTCGAGCTCCTTTGCACATCACAATGTCTAACCGCTGCACCAAAAAAAACGTCCTGGCAGTCCTGGGCGCGCACCCGCACCTTCTCATAATGCATCATGACATTCCTCAGAATTACCGGGGCAAAGGAGAATCGATACATGCGCAAGCTCACAGCAACCTGAGGAAAAAATGTCGGAACGTCCAACCCTAAACTTGACAGCGCTTAACCGGTTAACGATCCATGACATGTGGGGGTTTACGAAAATAGGGGGGACCCCTAAAACAGACCCCAAAACAGTTGGATCCCCTTAGAATGGAGAATTTAACTAGGCAACCTGAATTTCGGAAACCACCATGTGTGACCTCTCCCAGAGCGAGGGAAGCGGCGACACATAGGAGGGTAGCTCACTCTTGGCCTGCTCGGTGAGGGTCAAGTAGCGGCCTCTTCGAGAGGGGCCATCGAGGCTTCAGTGTGCCCAGTGTCCACCATTTGAAAGAGGGTATTCTTGCTTCCTGGCTCCTGTTTTTCTGGGCCTCTCGACATGAACTTGACATGAACTTTGCAGCTGCTGGGATCTGCAGGATCTGAGAGCGGGGCGTCGCCGGCGCTTGCCTCCTTTGCCGCACTCAGCGGTACATTCGCTCCACCTGGTGAAGAGAATGTGAAGAGGATGTTCGGCAGCCAGCTTGACCATCTAGCCGTTTGCCGTTAGAGTGGTCTTCGTTTGGCAGAAACAGTAGCGGCGACACTCTTCCGACATTCATCCAAGCGACTCGCCCCAGCTCAGCCACTCGCAGAATTTTTGTCCAGTGCAACGTCTCGGACATTCCCCAATCTCCATGAGCTCTTTGGGTTGGCATTCCTTGCCGCCTCCGCCGGACATCCCACTTCCGCATGGTGGCCGGGACATGAACGTGCTTAGCAGCTCTTCATTCTAGCCAAGCAGCCATTGCGTGGGAAATCCAGGATCTTCCTGACACGTGGCAGCCACGTACCGGAATTGGTTAGCCACTTCAATCTAGAGCCCCCTTCAGCTGCAACCGGCCGATATCTCCACTGAGATCATGAAACTCTTGCTCTGCCACGCCTTATCCTTGTGCGCTCACCTAGGCTTGGGCAAGCAGCAAGTACGTGGCAGCCAGAAAAAAGTCATCCATCGATGAGCCCTGTAAACCCTCAGCCCACCAAACGCAAGGTTCACAAACAGGACAAAGTCGCCGCTGCACTTGTTGCAAAGGCCCCAGGATTCCCAGGAACCGAAGGTGCAGTCCACAGGCTTCAGTTCACTGATCCCACAGGGGTGGCGGCTGCACTCCTTGGTGTGGAGATGCGTGCTACCAAAAAGGCCTCTTCCTGTGAAGTGACACAGGCCAGAAGAGGGACGAAAGGGCGGCACCCACGATTACGACCATTTAGAAACGCCCACAACACGACGCGTGGTTCAGCCACTACTGCGCCGGGCCAATAGTTCGACCCACCGACATCTAGAAGTCCTTACACATGTTCCCCGCCCTCCTCCCCATAGACTCCTGACACAAGTGAGCCTGGGGGACTCCTCCGGAGCTTCTATAGTACTATATTTTTAAAACGGGGTATTAATTTCTCCGCTGGCAGGCGTAGGGAAAACTCCACTTCTCGGCACTCCGCGACTCCGTGCAAGTCTTCACTTTCTGCCATCCAACATGTGCTGTGGGTCGAAACTTTCGGCCCGGGGGTGCCTTCCGTAAGCACTTTTTGAAGCAGACTCTGGCCACCAAAACGCATGCTGTTTTCCGTCTAAGCCCTTTTTGAAGCAGACTCTGGCCACCAAAACGCATGCTGCCTTTCGTAAGCACTTTTTGAAGCAGACTCTACCCACCAAAACGCATGCTGTTTTCCGTAAAAGCCCATTTTGAAGCAGACTCTGGCCACCAAAACGCATGCTGCGCCGGGCCAATAGTTCGACCCACCGACATCTAGAAGTCCTTACACATGTTCCCCGCCCTCCTCCCCATAGACTCCTGACACAAGTGAGCCTGGGGGACTCCTCCGGAGCTTCTATAGTACTATATTTTTAAAACGGGGTATTAAGTTCTCCGCTGGCAGGCGTAGGGAAAACTCCACTTCTCGGCACTCCGCGACTCCGTGCAAGTCTTCACTTTCTGCCATCCAACATGTGCTGTGGGTCGAAACTTTCGGCCCGGGGGTGCCTTCCGTAAGCACTTTTTGAAGCAGACTCTGGCCACCAAAACGCATGCTGTTTTCCGTCTAAGCCCTTTTTGAAGCAGACTCTGGCCACCAAAACGCATGCTGCCTTTCGTAAGCACTTTTTGAAGCAGACTCTACCCACCAAAACGCATGCTGTTTTCCGTAAAAGCCCATTTTG